ATGCTTTTGAACTGTGGTGTTGGAGAAGACTCTTGAGAGTCCTTTGAACTGCAAGTAGATCAAACCAGTCAATCCTCAAGAAAATCAGTCCTGAGTGTTCATTGAAGGGACTGATAACTAAAGCTTCAATACTTTGACCACCTGATGTGAAGAGCTGACTAATTGGAGAAGACCCTGATACTGGGAAAGATTGAAGGCAGGAGAAGGGGACGTCAGAGGATGAGATGGTTGGATGGCATCACCGACTCGATGGACATGAGCAAGCTCCAGGCGTTGGTGATGGACAGGGAAGCCTGATACAGGGTCACAAAGAGTCGGACATGACTGAGCAACTGAACTGAAGCATTACAGCACAGGCCAAAATGTTTCAATATCAAATGTATATGAATCTTAAAAAGCTGAAATCATATGCCTTTAATTATGAATTTACAGACTTCAAATTTCTTTTGTTTGGTACCTGAACTATATATTCTGATGTCAGTTTATTGATATGGTCCTTGCTAAAAGCAGAAATGTAATCATCCTACTTTTTTTTCTCCCTTGAAAATAGTTGTATTTACGTAATTTTAAAAAAGGTCCTTTTCCTCCACAAATAGCACATTGTATTGCTTACATGATGTTTTCTAATCCTCTCTTTTGGTCCAGCTATTTTGAAAGGGATAAAGTTATAAATATTTCTTTGCAACAGGCATTAAAAATATTTTTTGAATATATAAATTGAATATGTATATTAAGGAGAAAAAAGGCTTTTTGTTTGTGTATGTGTGGTAACAATGGTTTATTATTAAAACTTGGGTTTGTGTTTATTAGTAAAATAGTCTCTTTCAAATAAAACTATTCTTTGTTTTTTTCCCCTAGCTTTAACCATGCATACATAACTCCATTGAAAATAAATATGACTTCACATCCTTTTTAACTGAAGGTAGAGTTTTCAGTATGTCATCCTAGATTGCAGAGTTTCTTTCTAATGGAAGTAAAACTTTTTAGTTTCTGGTACTTGTTAGTACTCTAATTTAGCTACTGTGTTGCCACAAAATAAATTCTCTGCAGGAAAGCAGTGGCTTCTGGTAGTACATAATATATAATATAATAAAATATAATTATATATATTATATAATTATATATAATATAATAAAAATAATCTGTTTCAAGGAAGGCCTAAGTAACCTAGATTATTTTCATTTAATATTTTTAAAAAATTATGAACTACTTTATGCTTTTCAAATTAGTAACCACTGCTTCCTTTCTCTTTTTACGTACACTAGCATTCCATCATTTTTTTTTTAGCTTTATTATTTATTTTTGGCTGTGCTGGGTCTTCGTTGCTACACGCAGGCCTTCTCTAGTCTCAGCTAGCAGTGCCTTCTCTCCAGTTGCAGTATGCAGGCTTCTCATTGCAGTGACTTCTCTTGTTGAAGAGCACCTAGGTTCAAGAGTGCACTAGCTTCAGTAGTTATGGCACGTGCCTGCTTAGTTACCCCACAGCTAGGGTTCCCAGACCAAGGTTTGAACGCACGTCCCCTGCTTTGGCAGGTGGATTTTTAACCACTGGACCATGAGGGAAGTCCAGCATTTCCTCATTCTTAATCTGATTTTCACCCCAAGCATCCATTTTCTCTTTGTACTTTCCTTGTACTCCCATCCCCCTACTATTGTGCGTGCGTGCTAAGTCACCTCAGTTGTGTCCAACTCTTTGTGACCCTATGGACGGTAGCCCTCCAGGCAAGAGTACTGGAGTGGGTTGCCATGCCCTTCTCCAGGGGATCTTCCCCACTCAGGGATTGAACCCCCGTCTCCTATGTCTCCTGCATTGGCAGGTCGATTCTTTACCACTAGCACCACTTGGGAAGCCCTGCTGCTATGACCCAACCCCAAAAGTAGGTCTTATTATCAAATCAGAAGGTGAGTGGACTTTCTGGAGAAAGAGGGAACTGTTTCATTTTTCTGTTCCTACTTTCTGTCAATTCCAACAAATGACATTTAGGACTTCTAATCCTTTTCTAGTCAATTTCCTATATTGTTTTTTCCCCTTTTGGCCATATAATAGCTTATCTTTCTCTCCTAGTTGCACTTTAGTCACCATATGCCTATTAGTCAAAGTATTTTAATGGTGGCTTTTTGTATATGTGGCATATCATTATTAGGATCAATAATAGTTACCAGTGTACAACTTCAGGGCTGACTTCTGCCTGGTTGAATTCTATTACTACTGAAGATTGTGATTATCAAAAGTTACAGGTTTTCAGCTCTGTGGAGGGAAATCTGTATTTCTCCCGCAAAGCATCATGTGCGTATTGTGTCAGCCTTCTGAGAGTCTAAATACTAGCCATCTGGGCTATTGGACTATCTGGGAATGTTCTTAAAGTACAGAAAAAGTTAAGAATCCCATCCAGTTACTTTCTTACGGACAGTCAGGTGGAGGTTATCATACATTTGTGTTGGGGAGCCCTCAGCATTTGGATTTGGCCATGACCTGCAGGACCTGATGACAGCTTACCTTGCAGGGAAGGAGAGTCGCTCCCAGATAGCCCTCACGAGTGGCCCTGGAGCAGGAAGTGATGAAGCAGATCTTCCTGGTTTGGGAGGAACCTGAGGTGGACCTCTCGTCCTGAGTCTGGAAGGTAAATTTGTTGTTACCTGTAAATGATGGTTCTGCTAGTCCATGCTATGCCAATCCAGACTTTCAGAGGTATCCCTCCTGCCAGCAAGAGAAGACAGATGACTTGGCTGAAGATGGCTCTCGAGCCCTGGGTCATTTAGTCTTCCACACTTAAGAATATCCATTTTGAACAAAAGGGCAGCTGTATCTTTAAAATTCCTTTATTATTTCAACACAGTGAGCACATACTATGCAGTGACGATTGTGCTCTTTTTTGTTATTGTTTTCATTTTTTTTCTTAGAGTGAACCATATGGATTGGTTTAAGAGGGCCTAGCAGAACCACAACCTTACAGGCAAGAACAAATGTCACTTTCTGCTACTTTCTCCTATACCAATCCAGACTGTAGGGACGATAAACATAACATCCCCCAACTATAGTGAGCATTAACTTTATTTTCTAAGTGAGCAAGCATATTGACACTTGTTTTTTTAATAAAATGTGACTAAAAGTTATTTTCTCCAAACAATTGTTAAAAGACTTAAAAAAAAAAAGTCAGTATGACATTGTCACATCTAATTCAAAAGGGAGTCCTATATACCAAATTCTTTTAGCAGTGTGCTCATCTTTACACACAGGTTGTCAGCATAACCATGCGTCTTCCTTCTTAATGAAAGATAAAGCCCATTTCATAAGATTTGGCAGTCAAACAAAGAGGAATGGATATCCTACCTTAATTTAATGCATACATTCCACTACATCTGTCTGGTGTAATTGGTTTATCCTCACAGAAATTAATACATGGTCTTTGTGTTAATATATGGTAGCTTAATCTGTTACCTGTCTTCCTTCCAGCCTCTCCTTTTCTGATCGTATCTGCTGGCAATAGGGATGGCCCTACAGTCTAGAATGATATAGGGGGAGATAGCAGAACCTGAAGAGTCCATTCTTTCGATTTAAAAATAGCAGAAAGAGGTAGTCATAATGGATGTATTATTTTTTGTACAGCTCAGGAAGATAGATATGTGTATCCTTCCAGAAAATAGTTGAGATAGGCCACTGTATCCAAGTGCTTGAAGTATTTTCTTTGCTTGCTACTTAAAGAAATAGCCATAAGTTGATTCTGTGTTTGATTTCTTGACTTATCTTAGTTCAGTATTATTTGACATTTTCTTCCTGTCCTTCAGAAATTCCTTCAGCTATTGAGAGCATACAGGTTGAGTACTGTTTTAAGCTAACACCCTTTTGGTTTAGCGACCACCCAAGATGAGCAGCCTTGCATGGAAGACATTTGCCCAGTGTTCAGATGGACTAGTTTGCGTGACTCTTGGATATCTTTGTGTTTAGTCATCTTTTAGCTTTGAAGCTATTTTGTCTTTTCCTGATTTGTTCATGTTATCAAGTCTTTTACATCTTTACCTAATACTTCTTGTGATCAGGGTTCTGAATCGTATTTAATGAGGAGCTGATTATCAAGGGCCACAGAGACTGTTTGGTATTATCAGCATTTAAACTCCTAAATTCACTTTGGTTTAATTAGCCATTGCTAAATTCCAAGTAATGGTAAACTGCCTCAAATTTAAGGATTAAAATATAATGGAAATTGTAATTTGGAAACACATTAAATGTTGGCAAATCCCTTCATGATACTCATTTAGTTTTCTGAGTCCTCATCTTAACCATTTGTGTGGAGGCTGATTACTACCAGATCTAACATTGAAAGTTTTCTTTGTTTATTGTAATTCCTGTGTGAGAAATTTTGAAATAATAAATCATTTAACAATTTACCCTGTACAATTCTCCAAAATCTCTTTAACTTCACCGTTTTAACAACTTTATCTGGTGCTTTTGCCACAAGTCTGTTGTAACAGACTATATTTATATTCTGCAAACTTAACTGAAGTTGAAAATACAGATAACTAAGTTTTGTTTCTCTGTGTTATTGGAAACCACATTGCTGATTGAATTCTTTCTTTCTACTCTTTAGCCAGATCTTTTTTAAAATTAGAGGTTAAGGTAAAGTACGTTCATTCAGTTCATGATAAAATAATGAATTTTTATGTCAACTTTTTCCTGTGAAACCTAATATCAAGTTTGTAATTTGGCATTTATAAAAATTGCTCTCAAGTCTTATATTTGGGCACTATGGAATTTTGAACTGGATATGGATCAGTTGTAGTATATGTGAATTCTCTTTGTCTTGAGCTTGTCCCTGACACTGGCTTTTTCTAAATAGAATTCTGTGATGCAAGGAATAACAATTATATTTTTAGAAAAAAGAATCAATTAAATGGTATTTTTAGTTTAATGGTACCATGATTGAATAGTAGTGCTCAATTTTGAACCATGTGTTTTAGACTTGATCTCATAAGATGATAATTTAATAATTTTTATATGACAGGCGCCTATGGGGACCTGCTGGGGTGATATCTCAGAAAATGTGAGAGTAGAAGTTCCCAACACAGACTGCAGCCTACCTACCAAAGTCTTCTGGATCGCTGGAGTAGTAAAATTAGCAGGTGAAAACCGTGCACAATAATTCACTTTAAAAATCACTTCTTTGTAATTTGTAAGAAAGCATATTTGTAAATTTTCAAGTATTGCCAAGTATGATAAAGGGCAGAGGTTAGCAAATTTTTTTTCTGTAAGAAAAAAAAAAACTAAATATTTTCAGCTTTGTGAGCAAAGCAATCTCTGTCACAACCGCTTAACTCTACTATCATAGCATAGGAGCAGCCAAAGCAATGCATAAATGAATAGGCATGGCTGTGTTCTGCTAAAACTTTTTTTATGGGCACTAAAATTTGAATTTCATATAATTGTTACATATCATAACATATTACTTTACCTCGAATTGTTTTTCAACCATTTAAAAAAGTAAAAACTATTCTGGATGACAGTAGGCCAGATCTGTGGGCCCTATAGTTTCCTCAACCTCTGATACAGGGAAATACTTCAGAAGGTAACAAAAAGTACTAAAAAAAGCGATATGGTCCCATAATATCAGAAGTAAACTAATGATGAAAATTTCATCTATTTTAGGTACTACATTTTCTTCAGTCTCACCTCTTCCATGTATCCCAGCCCTTTTTACATTGTTGCCCATGAAGTAAATGTGTTAGGTATCTACTATGTTAGACCCTGTGGGCAGGTGATATGCAGACTTAAAAGATTTCTTTTTTTGGTGAACTTAAATCTGTTGAATTTTGAATACATTTTATGACAAGGTGCTTAGTAAGTGGTATAGTAGGATACTGTGATACTTCAGAGGAGGAGCAGCCACTCAGATAATAAAGGTATCCTGAGATTACTGGAAGAGGTATCTTACTCATCCTACTCTTTATAGTCTTATCTCCAGCCATCTTCCCAAAAATGCCCTTCCAGTTCCACCCTGTGTACTGCTGATAGACTTAATTTACCTAAAAATGATCTCAATTCCATTTTTCTGTCTTTAGTGGCTTCTTTGTCCTTAAAGAATCAGGATGGTCAGCATTTACAGCTATTGTTAAGTTTCACTGTCCACCACTGAACAGATTTTTTTATTGTTCCCCGACATAAATGATCCATTCTGCTGAGATTAGTTTCCCTTCTCTCTCACACAGCATGTTCTGTGTCACCTTCATTCCTTTACTCACTCTCCCTCTCTCACTTACCGTATTGAACCCAGTACAGTTTCTGCCTTTTCCATAAAACATTTCCCCAGCTTATGTAAGTGAAAAAATGAAAGTGTTAGTTGCTCAGTCATGTCTGACTCTCTGGAACTCCGTGGACTGTAGCCTGCCAGGCTCCTTTGTGGAATTCTCCAAGCAAGAATAGTGGAGTGGGTAGCCATTCCCTTCTCCAGGGGATCTTACTGACCCAGGGATCAAATCTTGCATTGCGGTCAGATTCTTTACCATCTACACCACCAGGGAAGCCCCCAACTGTACAGACATTCTCTAAATCCCTGTATTATTCCCTGTACATGGTTTAAAACAGCAATATGTACTTTTTGCTTGATGTTTAAATTTTTGCATATAAATGGCTCTAAAGATCAATGCATTTAATACTCAAGATTTATTTCTATCTTCCACCTCTGGTTTTATATTTCTGTTATTTATTTCTAATTGTAACATATATTTCATTTTAAGCCACTTTAATGACATTTTAGAAGTGAGCCTGTTGGTGATCATGAACCCAGAAATTACAGTTAGCAAGTCATCAGTTGTTCTGTGAATTACTGAATTTTAAAACTAAAAGTTTAATGCTATAAATTTTCAAAACCTAAGTATTAATACATGAAAATGCTAACTAAACTTAGCTTCCAGCCTGAAATACAAGTTTATTGGGCATTTTTTATTCCACTAAAGACCTTAATGTTTTAATCTGTTATCAAGATAAGGTTTATTAAAAGGAATAAACAATAAAAATATTTTCTCATGTAACTTATTTCACTGAGAGAAAAATATTTTAAATAAGCAAAGAAACAGACAGTGTTCGTCAAAGACAAGCTTAAAGAGATGACAAAGCTGGTTATGGGTGACTGTTACATACATCAGAGGGTTTCTTTGAGGAAGTGATATTTTATACTCTTACTTTCTTTACTGTTGTATGTATTTAATAAAAGTTTGTCTGTTTAAATATTTAAAAGATAAGGTTTATTAAATTATAAACAGTATATATCATATACTATTTGTTCTTTCCAGGAAATAAGTCTTCCCATTTGTTTAGTGCATGCATGCTTAGTCACTCAGCCGTGTCTAACTCTGTTGTCCCATGGACTGTAACCCACCCAAGCTTCTCTGTCTATGGAATTTTCCAGGAGAGAGTAGTGGAGAGGATTACCATTTCCTACTCCAGGGATCTTCCTGAGCCAGGATCGAGTCTCCTACATCTCCTGCGTTGGCAGGCAGATTCTTTACTGCTGCACCACTTGGGAAGACCCTGTTTGTTTAGTACATGTAGATTTTAAGTGATTTCACATATCTTTATTTGTGTTCATTGAACTTTTTTACCTGGTGTTTTTAAATCTTATTTCCAAATCAACAAGACAGAAAAATTTAAACTCTTAAAGTAGCCACATGCAAATTATCTGAAAATAATTTGGTCACCTGATCACTTGGATAAAGCAGTGTCTTTGAAATGTACTTTAACTGGATTTCTGTGACTTAACAAGTTTATATTAACTTACCACAATATTCTTTATTTCCAAAACTATGCATCCTAGTAGAACTTTTCACTCCTCTTTTTTAGAATTTAAGAAACTATGGGTAAAATTGAAATATATTCAGAGAAATAGGCCGTGCTCTGAAAACAGTTAAACTAATTTCATTGTTCAAATTATTCTCAAAGTTTCATCCATATAGAACTAGTGTCATCACTTCTGGGGACTTCTTAGAAATACAGTTTCTAAGACTCACCCAAGATCTGCTAAATGATTTGTGGGGTGTGGGGCCCAGCCGTCTGTCTGTTCACAAGCTCTGCACCTGTTGCAGATGTTCAATGACATTTGATATTCACTACCAGAAGCTATATTCTGTTTTATTTCATTTGATTTTCTTTTTATGTGGTGACTGCTTTGTTGGTTTCAGGTTACAATGCCCTTTTAAGATATGAAGGATTTGAAAATGACTCTGGTCTGGACTTCTGGTGTAGTATATGTGGTTCTGATATCCATCCAGTTGGTTGGTGTGCTGCAAGTGGAAAACCTCTTGTCCCTCCTAGAAGTGAGTAGTTTCTTTACCCTTACAGTAATTGAAGTATCTGAACTTTAATGCAGTTTCACAATTAATAACATTACAGTGACAAGTCACATAAAAATTAAAATAATATTTTTTTCTTTCAGGTAACTTATTTGCTAGCAAGACATACTTCTTTTCCCTATTTTTGTTACTCTTCTTCAGAATTTTAACTGCAGGATTTGTTAGTTGTTTTTTTTTTTAAGCAAATAACTTTTGAAGCAGTTCTATTCTTTGCTGAAGTATAACTGGTTATTTCTTTTTTTTAGCTATTCAGCATAAGTATACAAACTGGAAAGCTTTTCTAGTGAAACGACTTACTGGTGCCAAAACTCTTCCTCCCGATTTCTCACAAAAGGTAATGACAAGATCTTAGAAAGGACTCAAGTGGCAAATGAGAGCTCTAAAAAATGGAGTAACTTCAAAGCTTTTTAAGGAATTGTTTCAATTAGTGAATCAAATGACCTACGTTATCTAATGAGTGCACTAGATATTTTTATAGTAGAATACTAAAATTATTTGTAGACCTTTGTCATGAATTCTCAAAAGTTCTGCTTTTCTTTCAAGGTTTCAGAGAGCATGCAGTATCCTTTCAAACCTTGCATGAGAGTAGAGGTGGTTGACAAGAGGCATTTGTGTCGAACGCGAGTGGCAGTGGTGGAAAGTGTAATTGGAGGAAGATTAAGACTAGTATATGAAGAGAGTGAAGATAGAACAGATGACTTCTGGTGCCATATGCACAGCCCATTAATCCATCATATTGGTTGGTCTCGAAGCATAGGCCATCGATTCAAAAGATCTGGTAAGCACCTGTCACAAGGATTCCTGTTGAAAATAACACTGAGACTAAATTGTACTACTTCGGTATTTTTCTCCACAGAATAGCAAATGTCAAAATCAGTTGCCTTGGGCTGCTTATTCTACCTTAATTAGGGAAGGTTCACACCAAAAAATTAAATGTCCTAACCAATTCCTTTATATTCCTTCCACTTATGCTCAAGTAAAAAATAAAGCCCTTTCAAGTAAAAAATAAACTACATTTGTTTTCTTACACTTTTTTATCCAGCCCATTTGAAAGAAAATCGCCTTTCCCTTTCCATTCAGTGTTAGTAGAAATACTAAAATTAAATGTGGTTAGACTTAATACTAAACACTTTAAAACATACTTCTAAAACTGTAATTCCCTAACTAGGGAATTCCCAGCATTCTGATGGGCTGAATGTATTTAATAGCACATGTACTCTAAAGAGATAGAGACTTTTAAAGAATATTATTCACCGTAAATGTAGAAGGCACGTATTTTTGCCATGTTTTAGAGTATACATACCTTGTGAGTTTGAAACCTTCAAAAAAACGTGGTTTTTGGTCTTCTCACAAATGCTGACAGATTAGTATGTAACTTTTCCTTGTAGATATTACAAAGAAACAGGATGGACATTTTGATACACCACCACATTTATTTGCTAAGGTAAGAAGTTTTTATAAGAACCCTCATTTGTAAATTATGTTTGAAAGAGGGTTGTGGGTTTTTTCCTAATATTGTGGAAATCACAATTACATATATTCACCTAAAAGGATTAAGACCTTGTAATCCATATGTGTCACAACTATTGATTATAATTATTATTAAATTCTATTTGCCTGAATTCTCTCTATTCCGTAATGGAAGTTTGAGTTATAATATTAGGTAGGTAGGAGAAGGTACTTGGTATTTTCATCTTGTAAACTTTTTCAAATTGGTATTATTTTAATTATTAAACTGGTGAAAGCTGTAACAATAGATGTGCTTTCGTGTAATTCTTTAGGTAAAAGAAGTAGACCAGAGTGGGGAATGGTTCAAGGAAGGAATGAAATTGGAAGCTATAGACCCATTAAATCTTTCCACAATATGTGTTGCGACTATTAGAAAGGTAAGAGAATAGGTTTTAAAATATAGAAATGAAGTTATAGTAACTAGTTTTAAAGTAATGGGCTTCCCTGGTGGCTAACTGGTAAAGAATCCACCTGCCAGTGCAGAAGACATGGATTCTATCCCTAGGTTGGGAAGATCCCCTGGAGAAGGAAATGGCAACCCACTCCAGTTTTCTTGCCTGGGAAATCCCATGGACAGAGGACGCTGGTGGGCTACAATACATGGGGTTGCAAAAGAGTAGGACAGGACTTAGCAGCTAAACAACAACAAATAGGAGAAGGAGGCCCCTAACATTCATTTTGACCTAAAATGTGTGCATCTGTGTCTTCACTGGGGAGAATGTCAGTAGTAATTGCAAGATAAATTTGAATTCTCATACCAGAGGTTTTCTTTGTATATATCTTATTATCAAGATTGTTATCTTGAGTTTGCTACTTTTATTTTATGGAAGTATATCCTAAGTTAAAAGAAGAATATTTATTTTAAGTTACTTCCTAGTCAAAACTTGTCCAATACAAAATTGTAACAATGCTAGTTTATCCTGTTTCCTGTGTTTCCTTTTTGTGCTTTTTTTCCCTCCATTGGTAGTACTTTATTGCTTCTTTTCTCTTTTTCCTCTCTTCTGAAACTGTTTATACAAAAAGATGTAGAAGAGTGGTTCTCAGTTGTCAGTAGGCATTGAAATCTCCTGGAGAACTTTAAGAAATATATATATATATATAAAATTGACTAAGCCTCTTCTCCAACCCCGCACTCCCATTCTGATTTAATCAATCTTGCATTGGCATTTTTTTTAAGGTCCCCAGGTGATTCTGAAGTACAATCAGGGTTAAGAACCATTGATACAGAATACACTTACATAAAGGTGTAATTAAATTGTGACTTGCATTTCAACACAGTTTTAAGCCTTAAAGTGAAAGTTGTTCATCATATCTTTGCAACCCCATGGACTGGGGTTGGACTACAGAGCGGGGTTGGACTACAGAATGGACTACAGAGTCCATGGAATTCTCCAGATCAGAATACTGGAGTGGGTAGCCTTTCCATTCTCTGGGAGTTCTTCCCAACTGAGGGATTGAACCCAGGTCTCCTGCATTGCAGGTGGATTTTTTAACAGCTGAGCCACAAGGGAAGTCCTTTAAGCCTTAAGCCAAAAGAATTAAAAAGTTATGATGGCTACCATGTCTTGTACACTTGTGTTCAAAGTCACACAGCTAAACCAGACTGACTCTACACCCTTATTCCTCCTTTTCACCTGACTAGTGATCCAGACTCCCTGGTGCTATTTAAAACATAGATTTCCATGACCTACTGTAGACCTGCTCAATCAGAATCATAAGGAAGACTACCCAGATATTTGTATTTGTTTAAAAAAATAATAATTAAAAAGTTCTCAAGGTGTAACTCTTGACAGTCAGCCAGATTTGGGAATCAGCACCATTCTGTCATGCTCTGTGTAAAAGAAAAATAAGTGTCCAATGAGTAGAATATTAAGCTTCACTCAGAAAATACTTAAAATGAATTCTTGCCGTGCTAGGTTGGTTTGGACTCTGAAAGGCTTACAGTCTTGTAGAACAAGATAAGATGTAGGAAAATGTGTTTAACATACAAGATCAACTATGATTCAGAAATGGTACAAGTACTGTTGGAATTCAGATAAAGAAGAGCATCTTCTCAGAGGAATCAGGAAAAGCTTTGTGGAAGAGAGGACATTTGAAAACTTCATTTTGAAGGATGGGAAAAACTGGGCCAAGAAGAGATTCAGAAGGAACCTGTGCCAGGGAATGAGAATATGCACAAAAGCATCAAGAGTGAAAGGTACAGACCACATTTAGGAAATGGTAAAAGGTTCACACACAGTACGCATCAGACAAGTTGCTTTGAATATTCTGGGCCAGGCTTTTTGTTTATAAGGAACAGAAACCCCCTCGAGTGGGCTTTAGAAAAGTCATTCTGAGGATACAGTGGGCACGTTCACAGACATAGAAGGACCCAGGGATGAAACCTGGAAAGGCATGAACTTGGTGCAGTCCTCCACCTCTTAGGGGCCTCTTTGTTCCACCTCTGCTCTGTGTCTGTGCCACTCTTCTTCACTCTCTCTCCCTACTGGTATCCTGCTTACTCCGTCTCCATATGGTAGCCTGTCACCCTTCTGTTGGGCTTCCCCAGTACCTCAAGTGGTAAAGAATCTCCTTGCAATTGTGGGATACCTAGGTTCGGTCCTTAGTCTGGGAAGATCCCCTGGAGAAGGGAATGGGAACCCACTCCAGTATTCTTGCCTGGAGAATCCCATGGACAGAGGAGCTTGGAGGGCTACAGTCTATAGTGTCACAAAGAGCCGGACACGACTGAGCGACTTTCACTTCATTCACCCTTCTGTATCACAGCCTTTCAGTGCCAGCTCCAGCCCATGGCTTGACTGCTATCTCTCTGTATGTTAATTCTAATTACGGAGAGAAAATCTGAACAACCGAGCCCAGCTTTTTGCGTGGTCTTCTGAAAGTGGGATACGAGCCCTTGATCCACTAAGCTGTGTTCAGAAAGGGAAAAAAGAATCCCGTATGAGTGGAGGTAGTCCTTTCTAGAGGTCTTAGAGCTGTTAAGATTAAAGAGAAAATCAGTATATATATATATATATATATATATACTGATTGGATATATATATATATCCAATATAGTAGAAATAACTAGGAGAACGGAACATGCAAGTAGATAGAAAGATGATGTGAAATTAATTTGTGCAGTCTTTAATGCTTGATCAGGTTGAGTTTTCATTAGTGCTAAGTTGGTAAAGCTTTCTGGCATGAACAGTTCAGTTCAGTTCAGTCGCTCAGTCGTGTCTGACTCTTTGTGACCCCATGAATCGCAGCACGCCAGGCCTCCCTGTCACTAACTCCCGGAGTTTACTCAAACTCATGTCCATCGAGTCGGTGATGCCATCCAGCCATCTCATCCTCTGTCATCCCCTTCTCCTCCTGCCCCCAATTCCTCCCAGCATCAGGGTCTTTTCCAGTGAGTCAACTCTTCACATGAGGTGGCCAAAGTATTGAGAGTTTTAACTTCAGCATCAGTCCTTCCAATGAACACCCAGGGCTTATCTCCTTTAGGATGGACTGGTTGGATCTCCTCGCAGTCCAAGGGACTCTCAAGAGTCTTCTCCAACATATTTCAAAAGCATCAATTTTTCGGCGCTCAGCTTTCTTCACAGTCCAACTCTCAGATCCATACATGACCACTGGAAAAACCCTAGCCTTGACTAGATGGACCTTTGTTGGCAAAGTAATATCTCTGCTTTTTAATATGCTATCTAGGTTGGTCATAACTCTCCTTCCAAGGAGTAAGCGTCTTTTAATTTCATGGCTGCGATCACCATCTGCAGTGATTTTGGAGCCCAAAAAAATAAAGTCTGACACTGTTTCCACTCTTTCCCCATCTATTTGCCATGAAGTGATGGGACCAGATGCCATGATCTTAGTTTTCTGAATGAATGTTGAGCTTTAAGCCAACTTTTTCACTCTCTTCTTTCACTTCCATCAAGAGGCTTTTTAGTTCCTCTTCACGTTCTGCCATAAGGGTGGTGTCCTCTGCATATCTGAGCTTATTGATATTTCTCCCGGCAGTCTTGATTCCAGCTTGTGCTTCTTCCAGCCCAGCATTTCTCATGATGTACTCTGCATATAAGTTAAATAAGCAGGGTGACAATATACAGCCTTGACGTACTCCTTTTCCTGTTTGGAACCAGTCTGTTGTTCCATGTCCAGTTCTAACTGTCACTTCCTGACCTGCATATAGGTTTCTCAAGAGGCACGTCAGGTGGTCTGGTATTCCCATCTCTTTTAGAATTTTCCATTGTTTGTTGTGATCCACACAGTCAAAGCCTTTGGCATAGTCAGTAAAGCAGAAATAGATGTTTTTCTGGAACAGAGTACATAGCAAAGGAAAGTTCTAACTGTAAGAGAGGAAATGTACATAGGGAAGGCTGAAAGCAACATAGTGGAGATAGAGTTAATGGCTAGGATAAAGGACTGAATTTTTAGGGGGAGTTGTGGGGACCCAGCAATTGATTGCCTTTGCAAGGAGCTGGAGAAAGAGTTGTTGGTTTGATGCCCTGTACTAACTCTCAGAGAATATATTCAGCATGCAGGTAAAATGCAGGCCTGAGATACTGAGAGGGTGAAAAACTCATGATAAAACTTGAGAAATTTTGGCATAAAAGTCAACCATTGAAGAGTGAATGTCATCTTTTAAAGGGCTAAAATCAAAAACAAGAGTTGAAGGTGAAAGGATGGTTGCCAAAAAAATGTGAAGCAGTGAACACAGAGGTGAGAAGATGGATCAGCAGACCATAATGTAATGAGAATCTGGGAATAAATGTTTCCAAAAATTGAGTAGTCAGCTGGTATGGGATATTGTAAAGGAGGCTGAAGTGTTGGGGAAAAGGCACTGGATTTGACAAACTAGAAGATCGTTGCTTCCCGGATAGCTCAGCTGGTAAAGAATTCGCCTACAATGTAGGGAACCCTGGTTCAATTTCTGGGTCAGGAAGTTCCCCTGGAGAAGCGATAAGCTACCCACTCTAGTATTCTTGTGCTTCCCTGGTGGCTCAGACGGTAAAGAATCCTCCTGCAGTGTGGGAGACCTGGGTTCAATCCCTGGGTTGGGAAGATCCCCTGGAGGGGGGGCATGGCAACCGACTCCAGTATTGTCTGGATGATCCCCATGGACAGAGGAGCCTGGCAGGCTACAGTCCATGGGGTCGCAAAAAGTCAGACACGACTGAGTGATAAAACTTGAATTGGGTCTCTGGGTGAAGAGTATTTAGGAATTTGTACTCTATATACCTTTTTTTAAGTGTGAACTGTTTCAAAATAAAATACTTTTGATGTAACTGGAATTGGGAGACATGGATAGGTTTGTCTTGAGAGGCAAAGGAAGGACTACTACTTAGATCAGTCTGGACTGTGAGGTCCCTCACATAGTTTCTGTCATGGAGGAGCACAGTTACCCAGAGCATGAAAGAGGTAAAGTTGGAGCTTGAGGAAGATAGAAGAAGTTTAGAAAAACTCCACTATGTGATAAATCAGAAGGATATAAGTTAGAGCTCCTACTGAATAAGATTTAAAGCTTAGCCGAGACTAGATAGTTAAATTGTAAAAGAGCACTCAGCCCTGTTTCATGCCACGGAAGAAAACAGCCTTGGCCATTGTCAGGAGCATATTTCCCTAGACCTCTAAAATTACTTCTATGTAACCATGCTTTTATTTCTGGCACACACTGGAATTTATACAGATTTTTTTTTTCATTATGATTTCAGTTATTTAAGAGAATTCAATAAACATTTTTCCCTTTTACGAGATCTTTATGTAATAGATTTTGCTTTCTTTTTAGAATGTCACTTAAAGGATCATTTTTATAATAGTGGTACCTAATTTTAAATACTTGGAATTCTCTTAATTTAAAAGGTGCTGGCTGATGGATTCCTGATGATTGGGATCGATGGCTCAGAAGCAGCAGATGGATCTGACTGGTTCTGTTATCATGCAACCTCCCCTTCTATTTTCCCTGTTGGTTTCTGTGAAATTAACATGATTGAACTCACTCCACCCAGAGGTACTTTTTTCTAATATATACACTGGGTATTCATCCTTGTTTTCTTTTTACATGGTACCTGTCTACACCATTTACCACAGCCCTAGATTTCTTTTTATTTTTAGCCCTAGATTACTTGCTATATGAAAATATAATATGTATATATAAACATGTGTATTACATATGTATATGTTTATATCAAGAGCTGTGAGGTGTTTGAAAACATAAAGACCTGTAACCTAGCTAGCTTTAATAAATTAAATTGGTGTAGAATTTTTCCTGAGCATTTGTACATTTTATAATAAGAATTGGTATTCTCAGGCCCTGTTGAGATGATGATGTAGGCTCACAGGGCTATCGCATACATAAACTTTTTTAAAAAATAGACTTTAGCCTTTGAGAGAAAGCAAGTTTTCATCTTTAGATTACTGTATGAGGAAGCTCCCTGGCATTCCAGTTGTTAGGACTTGGAACTTTCACTGTCAGGGCCCTGGGTTCAGTCCCTGGTTAGGAAATTAAGATCTCACAAGGCAGGTGGTATTACCAAAAAAAAATTAAAATTACCATATGACTTTTTAAAAAATGACACCTTTAAATAGTTCATATGGCTTAACCAGTGATTTTCCTAATTTCAATATCTGAGCCTTGGATTTTTCTCTTAAGAAGAGAAAAGCCAAAACAGAAGACTATAAAAACAGTTTATGCCCAGTCACTGTTCTTTCTTACAAAGAAATAAAAATATTACTGAAAAATATTAAATATTAGACTATTCTAAGCCTAGGATTGAAAAGCAAAAGTCTGGTTCTTGTAGGATACATGGGTGCACCTGTTTCTGTATAGAAAACCGGGAAGAGCCATATAACAGGGAGTAATTATTGTACTCTACAGCATTAGCTCATGAGATTGTAATGTGTACTGAATTATTTTACATCTGCATTTTTATATTACACTAATTTTAAATGAACTTCTAGTTAAACTAGTTGTGTTTTCCAGGTTACACAAAGCTTCCTTTTAAATGGTTTGACTACCTCAGGGAAACTGGCTCCATTGCAGCACCAGTAAAACTGTTTAATAAGGTAAATTTAAATAAACACATACATATTAGTTAAACAGTGTAGGTATTTCCTTTACATAGGAGCTGAAATTTGTTTCCAAACTTTTTTTCATTATTAGGAATGAATGCATTTCCTAACTAGTTCTTACATGCTTCACCTTCATATGTTTCAATAAGGGGTTTTTTTGGTCTAAATTGCTAATTGGTTATGTTACTTCTCTTTTTTTCTTTCTTAGTGATGATGGAGTTATACATTCTTCTTTTCACCAGTGTTAATGTTTTGCTTCTCCATGTTAGGATGTTCCAAATCATGGATTTCGTGTTGGAATGAAATTAGAAGCAGTAGATCTCATGGAGCCACGATTAATATGTGTAGCCACAGTAACTCGAATTATTCATCGTCTGTTGAGGATACATTTTGATGGATGGGAAGAAGAATATGATCAGTGGGTAGACTGTGAGTCCCCTGACCTCTATCCTGTAGGGTGGTGTCAATTAACTGGATATCAACTGCAGCCTCCAGCATCACAGTGTAAGTTGGTATACAGAAAAGGTGTCCTTTTGTAAAAATCAGCAATTCTCCAAGCACTGTCTCACATAAATCATCTTGTGAGCTCACCTGACAAGAATATACCTATGTCTGATTGGTTGCCAGGTAAGATCTTACCTGATAAGACTCAACCGTGATATCACAGAATCAGACCATGTGTGCCGTGGCAGTGTGAACTCAATAGTCAGTTGCTTAATGACAATAGAAACACAACATTAAGAACACCCACTGAATTAAACTAGACTTCCTTTAGTGAGTTTAAAGTTACAGGCTAAAATTTGTTAATATGTAAGAAGTGATTATTGAATAAATAATGGAATCTGTCTGGTATTGAGGTTCATGGTTTTGCAGGAACAAGTACCCTTATTTTCGAAGCATTGTGTACTTTTATAAACATCATGGTCTTGGTAAAGGTAGTTTATCTGAGTTGTATCAAGAGTTGTAAGAAACTATCTGATATCAATTTTCTTTATTTTTCAGCATCAAGAGAAAGCCAGTCAGGTTCATCAAAACAGAAGAAAAAGACTAAGTCCCAGCAATACAAAGGACATAAGAAAAGTGGGTCACCACATGGTGTTTATATACATTTCCTAACTTGTTAACCAACTGGGGTCTTGGTATCCTTGCATAGAAATGGTATCCCTTGTGAGACCTGATAACTGTGCATTCTGTATTATGCTTAAAGGTGCAGTATGCCATAAAAGGCAGACTTTTTCAAAATGAGAAGCACTTGTCTTTGATTGGCAGGAGAAATTATTACCATAATATTTAATAGATGGTAAAGAGTAGAGTCTATGAATGATTTTTGAAGTAATATGTAAACCTGAAAATTAGTCCTTAAAAAATTTTTTTTTATTAAAAATAAAAACAGTTGCTTGGTGCTTACAATAGACTTGGAGACTAAAAACTTATCCTTCTAAACCAAAAAACTCTTTCTAAAATGATACTTAAATTCAAGTTAAAAAAATAAAAGAAAAATGAAATTCAAGTTGATAGTTAATGAAATCAAGCTTAAGAAAATATTAATATGCTTTCTGACAGTACTTTATCTTACAATGAATGATAACTGGCATTAATAGCCAAAATAATATAAAATATATTGATAGCTCTGATTCTTTTAAAATCTTTCCCCTTCCATCATAGAAAGCTATATATGGATTTTTTCTCTTCGTGAAACTTGTCATGGACTATTTCATCTTAAGATAAAGTTACTTTGGTTGTTGTTTTTGATTGGGGACTTAGAGCAGCCACTGCAGTGGTGCTTGGTTTCTTCCCTACATGAAACCCAGATCAGTCTCAACAGTGATAACCGTCAAGACCTATCTCTTACCCTCTTTTATTTTGTAGACATAAGCCTCCCGTAGACCCAGAATTATTGCTTACTGGCTGCTTACCATGGTTGATATTTACCTAAAAGAACTCCAGAGAACATTGCCAGACCAGGCAGATTAAAATGATTTTCAATTTATCAGGAACTGATTAGCAAGAAGTCATGTGGTAACTTCATGTCAGTGGCCTAACCACAGCAGGTGTGATCACTGAGCTTTCTCTCAGACTGAATGAGTACAGGCCGCTTTGGCCTGTCTTTACATTTAATTGGACAAGAATTTGAGATTTCAGAATTTTCTTTGCAATGTGTTGAATTTAAGAATGTTTTTTACTACTCAATGACTTTATGACATCTTTTAGAAGAAATTTCAGAGCATTGTATACACAGTTCACATACCTCTCTCAGTGTGACTCTTCCTGGGTTTGTTATGGTTCATGGGGTTTAATCATTTTGAATTAATAGGCTAGGGACATGGGAAGAAATATGAAATTAATGAAGTGATAATATCAGTGTCCCAGTTTTTAGTGACATTTAATAATGTGTGTCACTAAATGTCCCATTTAGTGACATTATCAGATTTCATTCTGAAAAAATGAATTTAAAATTAGAATATATTATTTAATATTTTAATAGCTCTTAATATTGTGACATCATCTCTAATGCATTTAAATTGTCTTTTGGACATAGAAAAGATAAAACTATGGACTCACAGTCCCTTATTAGAAATCCTAGAGATCAAATGCACTTTGGACTTTAGAATTCTGGGTTTTTTTTTTAAAAGAAGTACAGTGTGTGTAGCATATATTATGTAACACCCCTTGCAGACTCAGCGGCACTTTGAAGCAGAATATATATAAATAGTAACATTTAATGGGCCAAATAAAGATTATTATAAATAGTATCACCAAGTGAGGTCTGATTTTGTTGCCCCAAAAAAACTTGAATTTCAGAATTCAGGATAAGGACTTGTAGTCATATGTGAATGAAAAGCATTCTTCATTTTAAGAGACTGTCTATTCCTTTAATTTTTTCACATTACTCAGCAAATAGTTTATTAGAAATTTCAAAATAAGAACCTGGAGTCCAGGAACCTTGAGTCATCCATTGCATGAAGATTTTTGTCAGTTAGATAGACCACAAAACTTTTTTTTTTTAAGTTTGTCTGCAGATTATTATATCCTGGCTCTGTTGTTTCATCTTATGACTCTGGTCTTTCTACAGCCTAAAATCATCTAGTGGTATGTTCTTTGGTAGGGCTTATTTTTTACAAAAAATAATTGATTGACTTCATTGTTCTAGCCTGATTTTTAATTAGCTGTGTTCATGCTGTAAAGGGATAACTATTAACTAGTGCTTTTGAACAATAAGAAGAGTCTTCTGTCAAGAGGATCATATCGACTGTTGTATGTAGACACACGATCTGTCCAATCTTTTCTGAAAAGTGTTTTTTCCTCAAAGTTTAATAATTCTAGAGCAGGAAACCAGCACTCAATTCTGTACCATCTCCAAGGGTTGTTGCAAATAGTGAGAATTGAAGATTCTCCTCGCATTTTTACCTCCCAAGTGCGTAGTACATTAGACTTTTTCACCTAAATGAATGCTACAGGTGATTTTGGTTTGAGAGTTGAGTGTGTTCTCATAGGAACTTGGTTTCTAGATCATTTTACATATTAATACTGTCTGACTTAGATTTGTCTTTTAGTTCTGATTTTGCAAAGCAAATTTCTGATTGCTCTTTCCTGAGTTATTTGTTAACTCTGGAATAAATCAGGTATAACTTAGAGTCACAAAGATCTGTAAGTATCCTTCAATTTTTAACCAGATAAATGGGGTATGCTTGATTGTTCAGTCTTTGCAAAGCTTAGAGTATTTTTTTGTTGGTGGTGAAAGTATTGTAAAAGTCTTTGAAAGCTATGTGTGCTAATGAAACTATAACCAAAGGCTGTTTCTAAAGAAATTAGATTGCTTAAGATCTTGCACGCCCCAAATCTTTAAATTTCAGAACTGATTTTCAGAGTAAGAATTTTTTTCTAAAAGAGTGAATTATAAACCAAAAGTTAGGGAAACATATTTCATACCAGTGAAATTCTGCCATTTGTATAATTCATTAATTAAGCTGTTTGATTTCTCCCTGAAGGACAGTGTTTGGGCTTATATGGGCACAGTGAAATACCTACAAGTAGGGCTTTAAAATTCTCTCTACCCTTGGATTTTCAGTCCCCCTCAAACTAAAATTTTACTTCAAAGTAGTTAGCCAGCTAGCTGTTCTCCACACTCAATGCTCTCTGTCATTCATTTTCCTTTGGTTTGTTTTAAATTGATTACAGAGTCAAGAACCAGGATTACTAGACTCAGAGAGACTAGAAATAATCTCCCTTATCATCCACTCCCCAACACACAGACACATACACACACACATCCTTGTTTTACACACACACACATCCTTGTTTTCAAAAATACCAACCTTGCATAGTTGGTTCTCTTTTCACAGTATCCTCTGCAATACAACCTTTCCTAGTTTTGATACACTTTTCTTCCCACGCATGTAAGTAAAAGCTTACCTTAGTTTAACTTGATATTTAGAGAGGAAGATGCCAGTTGGGAAGAAGCCTGTCAGTTTGTCAAGCCTGCCCATGACAGGTGGGGTGCGGAGGAGCTTCTCTGGTGACGAAGAGTTGACTCCTCCATATCGAACCCTTCCAGCACAGACAGCCCCGGAGGCCTTCCCACCTCCCCGCACTAGCCAAGAGTTCAGTCCCAGCCTCAAAACAGGTAATTAGTCACATCAACACTTCAGGTACTGCAGAGGGTCAAAGTCTGGGTTAGGGTGGTGGGAGACAAAGCATGGTCTCGCATGACAGATGCTGACTCATCAAATTTTTCTTTTTATTTCAACTAAAAAATTCATTTTCACTAGTCCTTGGTAGTTACTTCACTAAAATGAATAATCAGGAAAGGATTTTTATTTTGTTATAAGCCACTTTTGAGCTTCAATTTCAGGTAAAGCTGTAATTTCAGCTTATGGAATTTGTGAGATAACTTGTACTATTTCATGGTTTTGTTAAAATGGTTGAACCTTTTGCATTGCAGAATCCTGTGTGACTTGACTTCAGGGAGAAATACGGTATAAGGGATCAATATGATTAATCAGATCCAAAAATGAGGCTTTCTTCATAGCATTCCATTAGCATCTCATTCAATAAACAGATGTGTTTTGTATTCCTGTGTAATTTTGGTTCTGGTAGTAACATTTACCACAGTCTTAGTTGAATAACATGAATTTGGAAATAAAATACCTGTATAATTTTGGTATTGAATTTGAGTGAAATTTATTTCTGTATGAACATGAAATATGTACAGTGATTAATGTTTAATTCAAGTTGAATTGGTTAGGATAAGCTGGTAGAGTAAGGAAGGCTGCCCTTTGTCATTGCTAAGAACAAACATGTTACCGTAGAATGTCAGAGAATCTTTACTTGGATATGATGAATCTTAGACTCAGTACAGATCAAATAGCATCCAGGTTGTGTCTGATTTGGCATATATTCTGCCATGTGTCCTACCTATTGCTTGTAAACTAAATTTTTTCATCTACTTTTCGTTCTTTAAAAAGCCTTGCATTCCTTCAAATCCCTGTTGAAAACCCTGATGAGACTTAGTGTCTAGCTGTGTTTTCTTCTCATTGCTCTGTTTGCACCTGAAGTTGTCATCAGCCTTTTTTTTTCTTTTAAGGATGTGATCTTTAGCTTTTGCCTTCTTAAACAGTATATTAGGTGATCTTTATCCTTCCCAGTCTGTGTCTCTGAAGATCACTCTCATATCTTTATATCTAGAAAAAATTACAGTACCTCTTTTGTATAAGAAATGGACTAGGACTGCAAATCCAAGTTTATCTGCTGTTTAATACTTTCAAATATCAAAAGAGCATTTCAGCTCCTTGTTTGTCTTTTTAACTTTTTTTCCTTTTGTACTTGTTATTATGAAAGTCTTCTATAACTTAATTAACTGTAGATATTGTGAACTCTGGATATATTTGAATTTTACAGCATTTTAGATGTTTTGTTTTATGCATTAGACTGATCCTGAAGGTGTGTATCACATTTTGTGAGAGAGCTTGACTTTTAGGATTGGTAAAACCGAGGAACTTGGAGTAGACAAACAGGGTAGAGCCCGCAAGGCCTCCTGATGACTTCCCTTTCCACTAGACTTTATCATGTGTGTCTTCTGAGCTGGGGGCACATTTATGGGACTTGGTGTGATTTTACTCTGGTGACACTGTGTAGGGACTGTGTTGCTGGCCTAACTATAGTTTGTTTTGCTTTTGGAAGAGTTTACTATTTATGGACTTCTAACTAGAAAAGTGTGATTTCTGTTTAACTCCTGAAATGTTAGTGATTAGAGTCAGCAAAGTAACTTCCTTTTAAAAACAGAGCCAAGAAACTGCATTTGTGTAGAAAGTGACATCAGCCACAGGGTCTATTTTATTTCATCCGTCATTCATTTACAATAAGGCCTGTAAAGAAGAAGTGATGAGTGTGAAGATACCAGACAGGCTTTATTTTAGGTTCCATGAAAACTCTGAAACTTTAGATAAAACATCCCACATCTCAGTGAATGTTTCATGTTTATCTTGAGTTACGTTTTTTAGAATATTGTTTCCATATATTAACATGAGTAGAAGCATAATCCATAACTTTGTTGTTAATAATAAATGCAAATAGTTTAAGGATGTGCTTTAGAATCTCAATTTAATTTTCTTACATTTAAAAAAAAGGAAAAAACATCCATTTGAATGGAACATATTTGGTCTTGAAGCACAGTAATTATTTTCTCATTCATTTAGCCATCTGATCATCATATAACAAGATATTGTTTTAATCAACCTTTTATTGTGGGTACTGCACCTTTAATGAAATTTGTTTTTTTTTCTTTTCCATGTGTTTATTTTCATGTCCAAATGCCTTTAATAATTAATGCATGTTGGTTTGATTTGAAGGATACTGTTATGTGTTTGATAGCCTCCATAAAAGCATTTTTTTCATATTAAGTAATTTTTAAAGGATTTTTTAAAAGAAAGCAATCAGTCAGTCGTGTTTGCTTTACCTTTCAACAGTCTGATTGGTGTGTGTTTTGCTATTATTATAGAAATAGTGTATTCACTTTTCTGTTTCTGGACTTAAATTTTTTAACACCACTACCAAAGCAAAATAAAATGAATTAGCATATCTCAGAAGATTATGCTTGTTTTTACTCTTCCTTGTTTTGTAAGGACTATTTATTTGTTCTTGGCTGTGCAGTGTCTTCACTGCTGTGCAGGCTTTCCTCTAGTTGTGGCGGACAGGGGCTACTCTCTTGTGGTGCACAGACTTACTGTGGTGGCTTCTCTTGTTGCGGAGCACAAGCTTCAGGGAGCACTAACTTCAGGAATTGCAGCACATGGGCTCAGTAGCTGTGTCTCCTGGGCTCTAGAGCGCATGCTCAGTAGTTACGGCACACAGGCTTAGTTGCTCACAGCATGTGGAATTTTCCCAGACCAAGGATCAAACCTGTGTCTTCTGCATTGGCAGGTGGATTTTTACCACTGTGCCACCAGGGAAATGCAGAAGATTATTCTTTAAATTACCAAATAAGATGTCAAAGACCCTTGTTTTTGAAACTAATCTTTTATAACTGAAATCAAGACACAAAGTGTTTTTCTATCATTATTTTGACTTTAAAAGTAGCCCTTTTATGGAATTCCCTGGTGTACAGTGGATAAGAACCCCCTGCGAAAGTAGGGAATGAGGGTTTGATCCCTGATCCTGGAAGATTCCACATGCCACAGAGCAACTAAGCCCATGTACCACAGCTACTGAAGCCTGCACACGTAGAGCCCATGCTCTGCAACAGAAGCCACCACAGTGAGAAGCCCATGCACTGCAACAAAGACGAGCCCCCGCAAGCCAAAACCGGAGGAGGCCCATGTGCAGCAATGGAAGACCCAGTGCAATCCAAAAAAATTAATTTTTTTTAAAGTAAGAAAGTAATTTTTTCTTCGCAGAGTTCTAATAGGAAGTAAAGGGCGGGCTTTAGGGCAATCTGAAGTTACTGGCAAATTGTGTTGAGGTAACTTAAGAGATGTTTATAAAAGAAGATAGGAAAATCTGAGAATTAAACTGCCTAAACTTTTGCCTAAGACCAGTGCTGGGACCAGCAAGAAAAAAGTTTTTCTTTCTCTTCTTGCTTGTCCATGCATTAGAGGGAGCCCTCCTGTCACTGAAAATGCTGACTAGCATGACTTCAGTGGCTACCAAGAAACCTAAACCCCACTGAAAATACTGGAAACTGGAAAACATTTGTCTATAAAAATAAAGACCTATTGGAACATGACCTGTTCATAAATTGAAGACTGCCTATACTGTTGTTTCTTTTCATTTAAAAAAAATAAAAGGTCTTCAGATAAAAATTTTGACAGGCAGTAAGTACTGCTATTAAGTGATCCCATTGGTAATGTTAGCCGTTATGTTTCTGGTTTCTTTTTTAGCTGCACTGCAAGGCTTGCAGGATCTTAGTTACCCAACCAGGGATTGAACCCATGCCCTCAGCAGTGAAAGCAGAATCCTAACCCCTGGACACTAGGGAATTCCAAGTGTTAGCTGTTTTATACCAGTGACTTTCACACTGCTGATGTCAATCAATTTCTATTTTACCTGAAATGATTACTTAAGTTTTTCTTGATTTTAGTTTTAATACAGATGTCTTTACTATTGGGTTTATTATTTATTTTTATAAATATAGAAATTATATGTAGATCATATTTTATGTTATTTTTAATACTGTTTTAAAATTAGATTTTATCTTTTTTTATGAAGAGTCTTTAACAAAGGTACTCCTTGGAGATCACATATTAAAGTCATATTTATTGTGTTACTTACTATAGTTCAGAACTATCCAAAAAATACATCATTTATATAGACATTGACATAAAAGTGAATACTTAATCATGAGAAAAATTCTAATCAAATTAGTGATCGCTATCACCTTCGACATTTCATTGACAGTGTTCATTTGTGCAGTGTCCAGTTTGTAGTGTTGTTCTTTTTTGAAGCTTTTCTCAACTACAAATACACTTTGAAAATTAAAAGTAATTAAATGCTCCTCCTTCAGGGGGAGTTAGTTTTAAAATTATTGAAGACATGAAGAAGCCTCTTATTAACTATAAAGCTGGTGGAACATGAAGATTAAAAGCAATCTGAATATTCCAGAAACACTTAATAACATCTTGTATATTTATCTCTTTCTTACAGTGACTACATTGCAGCTGAAAGAGGAGTTGATAGATGGAGAGGATTATAGTTTCCTCCAAGGAGCATCTGATCAGGAAAGCAATGGCTCTGCCAACTTTTACATCAAACAAGAGCCTTGAGGTTGCTCAGAAACTGAGGGTGGGAGGGAAAGAATTTTACACAGGACTGATTTTATAATCAATCCAGCTGTACAGCGGGGCTATTCTACTGGGACATTTTGCTAAACATAGAAAATTTCAGTTCCAGATTTTTCAAGTGGGTAGGGAAACTATTTTAGCCTTGGGGGGAAATTTTTCAATTTATAAAGATGGACAATTTTTGTGTTGTATTTGAAGCTTTTGAAAGAATTTTGTAATATTTTCCAAGTTTGGATTTATGTGCATTGTTAACAAGAATTGAAATTCTAACTTTTTTGGTAAGATTAAAGTTTAGGTAGCAGGATTGAAGGAAATGACTTAAGAAAGATACTGTTGTAAATGCAAACGAACTGTCATTACTAATGAACCTTTTTGGTACCTGTTGGGAGATTTTGGGATTTTAAAAGTTAGGCCAGTCACATCTCCAGCTTCCTCTGCTGCAGAATATGCAACTGAATCCCCCCTGTGGAGAGCTCATCACCACATAAATCATGGAAGGGTAATTAATTCTGCTTGTTGGCATTTTATTGCAGCCCATTTTAAATATTTGTACAGAAGTGTTTCATTCTGTGAAAATTTATTTGGAGTTCTGTATGAAACTGGAAGAACTCTGGATACTTTTATATGTTCTCTTTTAATTAAAAATGAGTAAAATTATCCTAACACTAAAGTGTTAAACTGGAATAGTTGACAAGATATACAAGATCTCGGTCTACATGTTGAGGGATTGGGGAAAATGCAATATTGTCCTAAGTTTATTTTATTTTCCTTACTAAAAAATATCCCACAAAAGGAATTCTCATTAGTTTTCTGCCATTTCTCTCCATCTGTGAGAGAATACTTGTATAACTACACCCCAAAACTTATGTGTTCTGTACTACCAGGAGAATCAAAATTATTTTAACAGTTGTTTAAAGCCAAGATAAGTCTAGATTTCAAAATCATTCCTGCTCTGCTTTTGACTATCCTGGATTTGTTAGAAAACTAATTTGAAAGAGAATTTAATTTTCTTAAAATTCCATATATATATATATATATATATATATATATATATGAATTGTCTTTAACTGTATTCAGATTTAATTTTAACAGTAATACCTGATTTGGACCATTTCAAACATTCCCTATTTTTAAATTCACATGGCTTCGTTTTAAAAAGGATATAAGGGTAAATTGGTGAAAGGTTTGCTCTCTGCATTTTTCTGACTGAGTTGTGACTGAATGAGAGAGCTTTAGCATTTACCAGTGAGGTTCATAAACTAAACTCTCAGGAATTAATTGCATCTGTTGTAGAAGTGCTTCTGGGTATTAGCCTGGCCTCTTCAGAGTGGTAATATTAACCATCTCCTCTGGAATATAGGTAGGGCTAATTAGAAATTAATCAAAATGATTAACCTCTACAGTCCTTCAGCCTATGGAATGCTTTAAAAAATGTCAATGGAAAGCCCCAGGAGACCATATTAGGTAAGATTTTTTTTGTTTGAATTTTAAAATGCATAGAACATTAAAAACCAGCAATTTATTTTCTAAAATATTGCTCTACTTTTGGGAATAATAGCATTGGTAATATGCACAGGTTTACCTCATTCTATGCAAGAGGGGTTAATATCATAAGGTTTTGTAGTTGCTACTGGAAGTAAAATTTGTTACCTTATAGTGTAAGAATGTATGGAATTGCATGTCAACATTTCTTAATACTGTCTCTTTAGGGGCATAAATGCAAGTCATATCAATGCCAGGTTGATTCTTATGTGTCAAATATATGTGAATTCAGCTGTTAAATTACTGGATATTTATCTTAAACATTACTGAGAGGGACCTACTGTAAATGTGACATAAACTTCCCAAATCTTCAACTTTTAAGAATCTTCCCATGAACTTACAGCCTGGAAGACTTCTAAAGCAAAGGTTACAACAGTCTATTCTCAGGCTCAGTGAATTTAAACCCAGGACTCCAATTGCATGTTATGGGCACAAGAAGCCAGTTGTAGCATGTGCTTTAACAGTACCCTGAGCTTAATATCTCTATGGGGAACCGAATAAACCAGGAGGGATTTAATTTGGAGCCTGGTAATTAGTTCTGTGAAATGCTCATTTGTAGCCAGATTTTATAAGCTTCTAATTTTACAGCAAAGCCAGGCTGTTCTCAAATTTGCCACGTGTTAATATTTATGAAGTGTTTTCTTGTCTTAATCCCATGACCAACATGGTCATGGTAAGGACTCTGTACCAGATAAACTCAATCTGAAGCCCTCTTCACTGTTCAGGCTCTTAACTCCCACTGCCGAAAGAACAGAAGATGACTTGGTGGCAGAGGAGGTTTGTCTTAGCCACAACTCCAAGTGTACAACTCAGTAGCCCCGTTCTCTTACGGTTCAAATATACTGCTGACCTTGGGTTTGTTGTTGTTGGTTTTTTTTTCCTGTTAGGATTATTTGGGGATTTTTGGTAGTTTAAACTTTTTCCTTGCTGTGTATGAGGAAAGCTAAAGCTGTTATCAACTTCTTATTCTATGGATACTAACACGGGTTTTCAGTGTTTGTTTGTTTTTATTATTATTCATTTTGTGTGATGTGAATACCCTCTCCCATCACTATTTGTATTATGGTGCTATATATTTGGTAATGATCCTTTACTATTGGGAAGGGATTTTAAAAATACTGTGATTAAACTGGGTTTCTTCCTTTGATTTTCATATTTTAAATAAAGCCACAGTCATTTATACAAAAGAAAAGCATCTGTCCCTGGGCAAATCTTTTGAGGACAGAGGTCAAAGTAAACTGCATAAGGTTTTTAAATCATTTCTGTATGTATTTGATATATAGATCAATATCTGTACAAATTTAATCTTTTATTTTCTTGGTAACTTGTGATCATTGAGAAAGTGTTTGAAACTTTCTCATGAAGTGTATATAATGGCGTGAAAAATTCCTTTGAAAAAATTTATGTTCCTTTCATTTTTACCAAATTGAAAATTTTCAGCATGGATGTGTTAAAAGCATTAAAATTATAACTTTGTGTACAAGATGAAAATAATTCACTAAATTTGCCCTTTTTTACACAAAATAAAATGTTAAAGTAAAGTTGCACATGAGCAGTTCTTTAATATGCTTGGTATTTGAGGGATTTCCTTTTTCATTCAAAATACTGAATGCCTTTATTTTTCCTTTGTAATTATTTTTTTGGCCGCACCTGGCGGCAGGAGGGAATCCTAGTTTCTGGACCAGGGATTGAACCTACGCTCCCTGCAGTGGAACTGCAGTCTTAACCACTGGACAGCCAGGGAAGTCCCTTGAGTGCCTTCTGTAAGCAGTCAAAGGCCCCAGGGAAAGTTGGATCAGTTCCTCCCTCACAGAACCTGTACTCTCATAAGGTAAGTCAGCAGAGGTGAGGAAGAGTTCTGAACATGTAACAAAAAAATTCCTAGAACAACCCTGGCACAAAATAAGCCTGTACGTAGCTGCTGCTGCTAATTACAAGTAGCTCAGCCAGGGTGCATGGGGATCAGGGATGGGTACCTCCACATTAAAATGCAGATCCCATGTTTCAAGAGAACAGCATCGAAACATGTATATTATCTAGGGTGAAACAGATCACCAGCCCAGGTTGGATGCATGAGACAAGTGCTCGGGCCTGGTGCACTGGGAAGACCCCGAGGGATCGGGTGGAGAGGGAGGTGGGAGGGGGGACCGGGATGGGGAATACATGTAAATCCATGGCTAATTCATTTCAATGTATGACAAAAACCACTGCAATGTTGTAAAGTAATTAGCCTCCAACTAATAAAAATAAATGGAAAAAAAAAGAAAAAAATAAATAAAATGCAGATCCCAGGTCTGCCACAGGATCTACTAATTGTAGTGAAATTGCTACTAAATGTAGTGAAAGCATGCAGCATATATAAACATAAGATTCATTTGAAACTTTTTAAAAAATGACTTAGAAGATGTTACATTTCTTGTCAGTTCTTAATTTGAAATTAGAATCCTGACATTTTTTATACTGCGCTATTGATGTAAAGAATACAAAGAATAGCAAGGACAGATTAAAAAAGCCTTCCTCAGTGATCAGTGCAAAGAAATAGAGGAAAACAATAGAATGGGAAAGACTAGAGATCTCTTCAAGAAAATTAGAGATGCCAAGGGAACATTTCATACAAAGATGGGCACAATAAAGGACAGAAATGGTAATGGACCAAACAGAAGCAGAAGATATTAAGAAGAGTGGGCAAGAATACACAGAAGAAGTATATAAAAAAGATCTTCATGACCCAGATAATCATGATGGTATGATCACTCACCTAGAGCCAGACATTTCTGGACTGCAAAGTCAAGTGGGCCTTAGGAAGCATCACTACGAACAAAGCTAGTGGAGGTGATGGAATTCCAGTTGAGCTATTTCAAATCCTAAAAGATGATGCTGTGAAAGTGCTGCACTCAATATGCCAGCAAATTTGGAAAACAACATTGGCCACAGGACTGGAAAAGGTCAGTTTTCATTCCAGTCCCGAAGAAAGGCAATGCCAAAGAATGCTCAAACTACTGCACAATTGCACTCATCTCACACGCTAGTAAAGTAGTTATGCTCAAAATTCTCCAAGCCAGGCTTTCAACAGTACATGAACCATGAACTTCCAGATATTCAAGCTGGTTTTAGAAAAGGCAGAGGAACCAGAAATCAAATTGCCAATATCTGGTGGATTATCAAAAAAGCCAGAGTTCCAGAAAAATATCTATTTCTGCTTTATTGACTACACCAAAGTCTTAACTGGAAGATTTTGAAGAGATGGGAATACCAGACCACCTGACCTGCCTCTTGAGAAATCTGTATGCAGGTCAGGAAGCAACAGTTAGAACTGGACATGGAACAGACTGGTTCAGTAGGGAAAGGAGTACGTCAAGGCTGTATATTGTCACCCTGCTTATTTAACTTACATGCAGAGTACATCATGAGAAATGCTGGGCTGGATGAAGCACAAGCTGGAATAAAGATTGTCGGGAGAAATATCAATAAGCTCAGATATGCAGAAGACACCACCCTTATGGCAGAAAGTGAAGAACTAAAGAGCCTCTTGATGAAAGTGAAAGAGGCTTAAAGCTCCACATTCAGAAAACTAAGATCATGGCATCCGGTCCCATCACTTCATGGCAAATAGATGGAGAAACAGTGACAGACTTTTATTTTTTTGAGCTCCAGAATCACTGCAGATGGTAATTGCAGCCATGAAATTAAGACACTTACTCCTTGGAAGGAAAGTTATGACCAACCTAGACAGCATATTAAAAAGCAGACATTACTTTGCCAACAAAGGTCTGTCTAGTCAAGGCTATGGCTTTTCCAGTAGTCATGTATGGATGTGAGAGTTAAGACTATAAAGAAAGCTGAGCGCCAAAGAATTGATGCTTTTGAACTGTGGTGTTAGAGAAGACTCTTTGAGAGTCCCTTGGAATGCAAGGAGATCCAGCCAATCCATCCTAAAGGAAATCAGTCCTGAATATTCATTGGAAGGACAGATGTTGAAGCTGAAACTCCAATACTTTGGCCACCTGATGCAAAGAGCTGACTCATTTGAAAAGACCCTGATGTTGGGAAAGATTGAAGGCAGGAGGAGAAGGGGACAACAGAGGATTTTTAGATGGTTGGATGGCATCACTGACTCAACGGACATGAGTTTAAGGCTTTCATTGTAGTGGCCTGGGTTCAATACCTGATGGGGGAACTGAGAATCCCGTGGCAAAAGAAACAAACCACATAATGTTAAATAAACCACATGAGTTTAAGGCTTTCATTGTAGTGGCCTGGGTTCAATACCTGATTGGGGAACTGAGAATCCCATGGCAAAAGAAACAAACCACATAATGTTAAGTCTTTTATGTGGAAGTGACATAAAAAAAGCTGTCACTGGCTTCCAAAAACAGCTATTCATAAATCCACATATTTCTATAATCTCATTTTTAAGGCAAAATCCAGATGATAATGATGGGTACTGTTTGGTATCATTTTACAACTGTGCCAGTCCAGTAAAATTAACCTTAAAAACAGAAAATATGGATTTTGTAACCACTTAACTATTTTTAGCCCAGGGAATAATCTTAAATATCCCATCCTAGGGTAGAAAGTAAGAAGGGAGATAGGATTGCAGGGAATATTTCTGTACCAGCCATGGGCCAGGCACTAGGTCAAAGAGCTTTACATACATTATTTCATTTAACCCTGCATTGCCATGGTATCATCCTCATCTTACTGATATCCTTAGGTTTCCATTTTCCACTTCTTCAACTTGCCCAATTTGCAGTCAAGAAGAGTGTAAATCTGGACAACTTGACTAGTCTGTTTATCCTACAAAGTTGCAACAGAATTTTTGTACAGAAATGTGCAGTTCTACATCCGCTAGATGGTTGAGATCTTACAGTGTTCATTATTTCCTCAGTTGCCTCAGATAGGCAACCAGTGCCGCACTTGTCCTCTTCAGCCTCACTGCTTTCCTTTTAGTCTGGAAGTATACTAGGTGCTGAGAAGGATCAGATGAGTTTTCCATAACAAGCAGAATTAATTCATTCTGGATAACACTACAATAGCCAGGGGACCAAGTCACTTCTTCCAGCTTAATAACGAGTAATCACGGGAAGCTGTATGCAGTTTTTAAAGGCTTTATTGGTAAATATGCTTAAGAAACATCCATCCTACTGCTTCCATATCAGTGGAATGAAGAGCTGTGCCCAGGAACACAGGAAGTGGTGCCTGAAGGGACTGATGCTCTGACCATCTCTTATTCATATATCCAGTCAACAGCACAAGACTTGTATTCAATCAGTTCTTCAGGCTTAAACCACAAGCTGATTTCTTTCTCAGCACTTTTTACTGAATCACTGCCATGAATGATGTTCCTAAGAAGAATAATTACTAGTTACCACATTTTAAAGTACAAGAAAGTCTGTTTAATGGATGAAACAAAAGAGAGTCACTAAAGACTTTTTCAGCCAGTTGCCCCTTGAAGCAGCTGATGACCCCAAATTATTTCCTCTTAAAAGCAACTGTAAAACTATAAAGATACTGAACTCAAAGGCATTCATTGGTTCAACTTTATTATGTTTCTAAGTTTTTGAAACACTGCTTATACCCAGAATTGCCATGCCACAAAACATTCCTTCTCAAATTTTGAAAAATACAGGACTATCTAGGCCAAACCCCAAACAAGATATAACACTATTAACAGCTATTTCTGCTGTATTTGTTACAACATTAATTTGCAAAGCCCAACCAAAACATTCACACTTACTGAGACTCCCTCTATTTCATTTGAATCTCCTTTGTAAAATTTTTGTAACATTTTGTGTAAGTGAGGGAAGCAAAAAGGCTAAAAGTGACACATCCTTGGACACAGCACCCCAAGGCAGAGCCAACACTAAAAACATTCTTGCCCCACTCTTCACTTTCTGTTGCCACAAAGGACCTAATGGCACCTCCCTTGTGCAGTGTCTTGGGTTAAATTTTAAGTAGCCTAGAGAAGTAACTATTTAAGAAAGCATTCCTCCAGTGATAATTAACACATAATTTAAACGTTCGAGTTTTTCTAAAATTGTAATATGCCGAAAATATATGTTTTCAAACCAAAGTAAGTGGCTTTAACGAAAAGTTATTAACGCCCCTTAGAACTTACCTGCCAACTTGAATGCAGAAGTCACCACGAATGGTGCCTGGCTTAGAATCTGCTGGATTGGTCTCCCCAAGCATCACTCGTCCTGTCTTCACTACATTCAGGCCCTCCCAGACCTCGACAGTAGGAAAAAAGAAGTACATCAGTTCTGCCATCAGGACCACTGAACACATTTACCTTTACCTAATAGCACACACTGATCATCTCAAACACCCTTTCCCAACAACGCAAGATACAATTCTATCTGTGGACATCACCAGATGGTCAATACCACAATCAGATTCTTTGCAGCCAAAGATGGAGCAGCTCTATATAGTTAGCAAAAACAAGACCTGGAACTGACTGTGGCTCAGACCCTGAGCTCCTTATGGCAAAATTCAAGCTTAAATTGAAGAAAGTAGGGAAAACCACTAGGCCATTCGGATACTACCTAAATCAAATGCCTTACGATTATATAGTGGAGATGACAAATAGATCAAGAGGTTAGATCTGGAAGGGAGAGTGCCTGAAGAACTATGATCAGAGGTTCGTAACACTGTACAGGAGGCAGTGGCCAAAACCATCCGTATGAAAAAGAAATGCAAGAAGGCAGACAACCAGTCTGAGGAAGCCTTACAAATAGCTGAGAAAAGAGAAATGAAAGGAAAGATACATCCAACTGAAAGAGTTCTAGAGAATAGCAAGGAGAGATAAGAAGGCCTTCTTAGGGAAAAAATATAATGGGAAAGACAAGAGATTTCTTTTGGAGATACCAATTTTTCATGCAAGGACAAGCATGATAAAGGACAAACGGTAAGGACCTAATGGAAGACGAAATTAAGAAGTGGCAAGAATACACAGAAGAACTACACAAAAAAGGTCTTAATGACCCAGATATCCATCATGGTGTCGTCACTCACCTACAGCCAGACATCCTGAAGTGTGAAGTCTTAGTGGGCCTTAGTGCTAGTGCTAAGTCACTTCAGTCATGTCCGACTCTTTGTGACCCCTCGGACTGCAGCCCGCCAGGCTCCTCTATCCATGGGATTCTCCAGGCAAGAATACTGGAGTGGGTTGCCATTTCCTTCTTCAGGGGATCTTCCCAAACCAGGGATTGAACCCGTATCTCTTTTGTCTCCCGCATTGACAGGCAGGTTCTTTACCACTAGCGCCACCTGGGATGCCCTTAGTGGGCCTTAGGAAGCATTATTATGAGCAAAGCTAGTGGAGGTGATGGAATTCCAGCTGAGCTATTTAAAATCCTAAAAGATGGGGCTTCCCTGGTGGCTAGTGGTGAAGAATCCACCTGCCAATGCAGAAGACACAGGTTCAATCCCTGATCTGGGAAGATTCCACATGCCACAGGCAGCTAAGCCTGTATGCCCAAACCACTGAGCCTGTGCTCTAGAGTGTAGGAGCAGCAACTACTGAGCTCATGGGCCACAACGGCTGCAGCCCCAGTGCTGTAGAGCCCGTGGTCTGCAACAGGAGACACCAGCTCAGTGAGAAGCCTGAGCTCCACAACTGGAGTAGCCCCTGCTTGCTGCGACTGTAGAAAAGCCCTCGCAGCAACAGAGACCTAGCACAGCCAAAAACAAACTATTATTTTAAAAAAATCCTAAAAGATGATGCTGTTAAAAGTGCTACACTCTATATGCCAGCAAATTTGGAAAACTCAGCAATGGCCACAGGACTGGAAAAGGTCAGTTTTCATTCCTATCCCAAAGAAGGGCAATGCCAAAGAATGTTCAAACCTACTATACAGTTAAGCTCACTTCACATGCTAGCAAGGTAATGCTCAAAAATCCTTCAAGCGATGCTTCAACTGTACATGAACTGAGAACCTCCAATTGTACAAGCTGGATTTAGAAAAGGCAGAGGAACCAGAGATCAAATTGCCAGCATTTGCTGGATCATAGAGAAAGCAAGGGAATTCCAGAAAACATCTACTTCTGCTTCATTGACTACACTAAAGCCTTTGATTGCGTGGATCACAACAAAGTGTGGGAAATTCTTAAAGAGACGGGAATACCAGACCACTTTACCTGCCTCCTGAGAAACCTATATGCAAGTCAAGAAGCAGTAGTTAGAACCAGACATGGAACAACTGACTGGTTCCAAACTGGGGAAGGTATACCACAAGGAGGCCATATATTAACACCCTGCTTATTTAACTTATATGTAGAGTCTATCATGTGAAATGCCAGGCTGGATGAATCACAAGCTGGAATCAAAATTGCCAGAAGGGGAGAAAAAGAAAAAAGATTGACAGGAGATCAACCTCAGATATGCAGATGATACCACTCTGATGGCAGAAAGTGAAGAGGAAACAGAGTCTCTTGATGAAGGTGAAAGAGTGGATTGAAACTCAATATTAAAAAACTTTAACATCATGGCATCCAGTCCCATCACTTCATGGCAAATAGAAGGGGAAAAAATGGAAGCAGTGATAGATTTTATTTTCTTGAGCTCCAAAATCACTGCGAATGGTGACTGCAGCCATGAAATTAAGATACTTGCTCCTTGGAAGGAAAGCTATGACAAACCTAGTTCAGTTCAGTCACTCAGTGTCGTGTGTGACTCTTTAGACAGCCTATTAAAAAGCAGAGACATCACTTTGCCAACGAAGGTCCGTCTAGTCAAAGCTATGGTTTTTCCAGTAGTCATGTACAAATTCAGTGTTGGACCATGAAGAAGACTGAGTGCCAAAGAATTGATGCTTCGAATTGTGATGCCAGAGAAGGCTCTTGAGAGTCCCTTGGACAGCAAAGAAATCAAACCAGTCAATCCTAATGGAAATCAACCCTGAATATTCACTGGAAGGACATGCTAAAGCTCCAATATTACTGCTACCTGGTGCAAAGAGCCAATTCATTGGAAAAGACCCTGATTCTGGGAAAGACTGAGAGCAGGAGAAGGGGGTGACAGAGGATGAGATAGTTGGATGGCATTCCCGACTCAGTGGACATTTTGCACAAACTCCATGAGATAGTGAAGGACGGAAGCCTGGTGAGCTACATTCCATGGGGTTGCAGGGAGTTGAATGCAACTTCAACAGAACAACAGCACACATCAATCAGACCAATCAGTGACCTGATTATCAACCAACCCCAGAAGTTATAGGAGCTGATATGAAATACTCCATACTCCTTCCCAAGTGTATTGCTAGGATACAGAGAAAAGGTCTGCCCAACTTGACTTCCTAGTCTGACTGAAAGAGATTAACAAGACTGAAGAATTCTTGTGCAGTCACAAACTCTAAAAAAGTAATGATGAAAGGGTAAAGAAAAGTGACCAAACTAGAACGGGATCAGTGGGAAGGGCATCATAGAAGACTGGTAGAGCAAGACATGGCAAAAACTGACATGAAAGGGGAAAGTGTATTCCAGGGAAAAGCAGAAAGAAGAAAAGGTTACTGTCAGGGAATAGGAAGTAGGTCTTCTTTCTCAACAATTTTATTGACTCTATTATACCCCCCTGCTTCTATTCATTTCACTTCTAATTGGACGTTAATGCCACAGGAAGAAACAGACCACTTCATTTCTAGCACAGGATTAAAGGAACTTTTTGTTATGTCTGATTCTCGCTTCCTTTTTCCTCCCAAGCTCCCAGTTGCTTTGTAAACTAACCACAAGCAGGCTGCATTTGTAAAACAAAGAATTTGGGGTATCTGGAGATGATGTCTAAAAAGGGACATGAAGACGTTGAGCAAACCCAGTTACCTATCAGCTGTTATTCTTCCACTTGATTCCACCTCCTCCACCACAAGAAACTTACCATGGCCACAACTGGCCCTGAGTTCATGTACTTCACCAGCCCTGGAAAGAATGGGCGGTCTTTCAGGTCAATGTAGTGCTGCTTCAGGAGTTCCTCAGAGGCCTTGGCATTGAAGAGAAGGTACCAATTAGGAATTAAACTCCTCAGGTCTCCTCCCTACCCCAGTAACTTAGTAGGTTCTCTAAAAGTCTGGTTATGTATTTAAGTTCACATTCGTAAGATGTGTTTTTTTTAAAAATTCCATCCAAACCATGAAACTGATGGTTTGTTAGCAGAAAGATTCTTCTGATTGTGAACACACACTATCATGTCAATGACCTTGTAATACAGATGTTCTAATTCTGAAAAGAGGTGGTTATGGAATTAAGTGTTGGCTACAATCAAAGGAACTATTCCAAACAGAGGCCATATCAAATCATCTGGCCCTTTTAAACGTTTCTGATGTTAACTGAAATATCTCTTCACTGAGGAGCTTGGTTTAAAAATTCAGTTCTTAGATATGTATCCCCTGAGGTCCAGATTTGTGCCCCAAATTTAATGTGAAAATAAAAAGTTGTCCTATGCCAAAGGGAGCCTGCAGGGAAAGGGCAGAGGAACGGAAGCCCCATCTAAAACCTCAGTCATCTCAGAGTTGCAAAACTGAAGCACAAAAGGATTGCAGCCTCCATCCTGTGCCTGGGTGGACCCTCATGGGCCCAGGACAAGGCCTTCTCCACTCCCTGCTGCCCTCCTGCGGCCCACAGCCCCATCGCAACCCGAGTCACTTTACCTCCGTTTAACCTTCCAAGAGTGCCCGCCCACACCCCGCCCCCGGGGCCTGGGGAAGGGGCTGCGGGCCCCAGGCGCCCTGGGGAGGGAGGAGAAAGGAAGTTCTCGCGGACCCTAGATCAGCCAGATTTTCCCACTCGGAAAAGGATCGGCGCTGCGGGGAAGGAAAACCACCCGTGACCACGCCGCAGCCGGGGGAAAGGGAGCGGGGCGCATCACCTGAAGGAACTTCATGGCCACAAGGCGGAATCCCTTCTGCTCGAAGCGCTTGATGATCTCGCCCACCAGGCCGCGCTGCACGCCGTCGGGCTTGATAGCAATAAAGGTGCGCTCCGCGTGGGCCATGGTCCTGTGGGCGGCAGGTGTAATCAAGGCCCGGTGTCCGCGCCCACACAGGCCTCGCGGGGGTTTAGACGCCGGCCAGGAGGCCACGTGGCGCCCGCGCCTGCCCGCCCCAGCCCGCAGCCGCCCGCCGCCGCCCGCCGCCGCCCGCCGCTACGTGACCTTTTGGAAGCCAAGCCCTACCCGCACCCAGCCGCCGCCCCTCGGCCGTCCAGAGCTGCAGCGGAGGACACGCGGCCAAATCTTAGGATAAAGCCGGGCCTGCGGGACCCAGGGGACGCCAGCGGGACCCAGGGGACGCCTGCGGCCTGGGACCCACTTGACGCGGCACGAGCGGGGAGGGGGCCCAGGGCGAGAAAGGGAGCGGAGCTGCAATCTTACCGGTAAAGGGGTGAGCGCGGGTGCGGGTAGCGATGAGGGCCAGAGCCTAGACCCTGAGCCGAGAGCTGAGCAACTGACTTGGCTGGGAGCCCGCGGAGGAGGGGCCGGCGGTAGCCACACCCCGGACGACCCGCCGCCCAACCCGCGAGGCCGGACGCGTTCGGAAGACTCTGACCAGCCCCGAGCTTAAGGAAGAAGCTGGCTAGGGCTTCAGGGGCAGGAAGTGATTTTTTCCCCTACCTGGATGATCGACTAGTAGAACTGCACGCGTCCAATCCAACTCCTGTCTTCAGTATCTCCTAGCACTCACATATCTCCAGGTCTTGCTGCTGCTGCAAAGTCGCTTCAGTCGTGTCCGACTCTGTGCGAGTCAGTACCATCTTTTCCGCCCATCCACCGAGTACCCAGAGCTGCTTTCTCTCCTCCCCGTCTAGCACAAGCCCTTATCCTACGTGTGAAGTCGTTTCCCCTTCTCTCCTTTCAAGCAAGTTGAGCCCTGCTTCAAGCCCTCCACTTCCCTCATCTTAACTAGCCGCCTCCCAACGCGCCTCAACCTCACTACTCCCCGCAAGGAACCTCCGTCAGCAACCTCTTCAAACACCATCTGACCCTCCGCCTTGCTTTGATTATTGCCTCTGCCTGGAGGATGGCATCCAAGGCTAATTTAACAAAATGCCCTATGCCCTGCTCCTTCCTGCCTGTCTCTCCACCAACCTTCCCAGCCCAGTTTAGCTGCCCTTTCCTGTTATGGAGTCCAAGCTTGCCACACAACAGGCCAGGCCAAGAGAGGAGGTGTTGAGGCAGGAAAAACAGCTTTTTCAAAAAGCAGCTGACAGAGACGATGGCAGGTTAGTGCTTCAAAATAACCATCTTATGGACGCCAGGTTCTTTTACAGATCAGAGAGAAAGAAGCAGGGAGGAACTAAAATAAAAAAACAGACTAGAGAGGGAGAGGTGGTGGGGAAGTAAAGTGAAAGGGTCTTCAGTCTTGCAAAACATCTCCAAGGGATTGGTCAGCCTTTGGATGGGGTGTGTTAATCTCTATTCACAGGTGGGCAGGAACAAACTGTCTCTCCAAGAGCTGAACAAAGGCACTTTCCTGTCAAGCAGAGGGGCAGGGTCCTCCAGGGAGGCCATTAAGATGATTATAATAATAAAGCAATGAAAAGTCAAAGAAACAATTTCGAACATGGAGTCCGAATTGGCTTCCTCCCTGCAACATTGCCACCGTGAGATGACGGTCTCTTCTGCCCCGGCACTATTATGTGGCCAGGTTATACAGTTCAGTCTGAGACACACCCTTGATAAGATTCTAGATCCTCTCACAGAAATCAGGCCTGTCATACATTTGCAGACAATCTCTATCTCCTCTCTGTCTGGCAGACTACTAGCTTTGGTGGTGACCAGCTTCCCCCACCTCCACCTCTCCAGCAGTGCTTACAGCCTGAGATGGGCAAACACACTCTCTGCTCAGGGCAGTGAGCTAACCACAGGAATTGCGTGTCATCACCCTGGTAGTCCTGGCACTGCACTGATAACCTGTGTTAGATGACTTGACATCCAGGCCTCTGTTACACTTTGCTGACTTTCCGAACCTCTAGCTGCAGCGCATTAAACCACAGTGCACTGGCAGTCTTCATTCTGGAGCAGGAACACCTAGTGTTCCCTTGGGCCCCAATCTGCAGCACACTTTTATTTGGGTTTTCTTTCCAGAGTTATCAAATGTCAATTGTGGGAAAGAGTGGGAATTTCTCTGCAAAGCTGTTTGCCTCTTGGTCTAGTCACTAATAGCACCTTGTGGTTATAGTCAATAGCAGCCCTCTGCCTTTCACCTCTCCTTTTCTTGCTGGGAAGACTGGAGAAGGTATAAACAAAAAGAGAAGGGGGCAGGGCACAATCCTTAAAAGATAACACAGCCTTGAAAAAAACTGGATACAACAAAAACTAGTTAGAACTGACTAGGCCCAAAATTGTGGAAGATTCAACTTCAGTAGACCTTGAGCCTCATTATACTCATTGTAATGCACTAGCATGCTAAATGACACAAACACAGGCATCATGACAGTTCCAAGGCCAAGACTGAAAGGCCAAAAAGTGGGCAGTGGCCCAAATCATGGAAATCCCCACCCCTTCTCCAAGGTGATTAGAATATTCCTTCTACTCTTTAGCCTACGGAAATACCCGGCCCATAAAAACTAACCATCCCACAACTCAGGGCTGCTTTGCCTCCTGAGACAGACTACTTATGTAATTGTAACCAACTAGTCCAACCAGTCCATCCTAAAGATCAGTCCTGGGTGTTCACTGGAAGGACTGATGCTGAAGCTGAAACTCGAATACTTCGGCTACCTCATGCGAAGAGTTGACTCATTGGAAAAGACCCTGATGCTGGGAGGGATTGGGGGCAGGAGGAGAAGGGGACGACAGAGGATGAGATGGTTGGATGGCATCACCGACTCGATGGACATGAGTTTGAGTAAATTCTGGGAGTTGGTGATGGACAGGGAGGCCTGGTGTGCTGCAATTCATGGGGTTGCAAAGAATCAGACATGACTGAGCTGCTGAACTCAACTGAGACCCCCACGGGGCCTTCTGACACAGACCCTTCTCCCAGTATCCTCTGCTTTAGCTCCTCTCTGAAGTACTGAGATAATAGTACCTGATGCACATTTCCTGAGTAGTTTTACACATGTGAAAGCCCCCACTAAATGGAAGATATTTAACTATTTGATGACCAAGGACACCTAGCCCCCAGGTCTCCTAGAGCCTAAGGATTATGTTAACTCCAGTGACATCACCCTATTACCTCACAATCAACCAATTAGAGAATTGTACACAAGCTGATCATACACCCTACAACCCCACTCCCTCACCTGACCTTTTAAAAATGCTTTGCTGAAACCTTTTGGGAAATGGGGCCAGGGGTGGAGAAGGGGAAGGGGTTCAGGGGCATGAGCCACCCATCTCCTTGCATGGCTCTGCAGTAAGTCTTTCTCTGCTCCAAACTCCAATGTTTAGGTATTGTTTGGCCTAATTGTGCATCAGGCACATGAACACAAGTTCAGTAACAGAATGTGTATCTCCCAGTAAAACTGCTTTCACTTTACTATGGCTTGCTCTTAAATTCTTTCCTGAATTTAAGGACCTTCACTTGGTGGCCCATCCCAAGACCTAGGACAAGACCATCCTCTTGTGCCCCATTTTCCTGCAACATATTTATGAAAGAAGAGGAAGAAAGTGGTCTTCTTGTAGCCACGCGTTCCGGGAAACAAGCTCACCCAGAATGACAATGCAGATAGTGGAGTTTATTACACCAGCGGGCCTAAGGCAGAGTCTCTTCTTAGCCAAGGACCCTGACCAGTTTTTGTGAAAACCTTATATACCCTAAGTATACGTGCCCAAACCCACCTCCCCAAATTTCCTGAAACTAGTCTGAACAAAGGAAAAGAAAGATACAATCAAAGTTAACCCGTTGATTCATATGCCTTAAGCCTAGGTAGTTAACAGTGGACAATTATTAATAGGCCTGTGGTCATACCCCAATAAGCATAATAGAATTTATGATTCTGTTTGGTTACACAGATAATTAGGGTATTTTAGGCGAGGGAGAGTCTAGGTAGGAGCCCTGGGGCTCTTCCATCCAGGGGGTCTGGTTTTCCAGTTGGTATGTCATTTCCATAGATACTGGGCATAAACCTCCAAGTCCACAGTCCGGCCCAAGATGGAGCCTGTCCTGTTTCCTCCTTCATTCTCTACCTCCCCACTTTTCCTTTGATATAAAAAAAACCCCACTTAGTTATCAGGAAGAGCCCTCTTGCCTGCCCATTGATACCCTTCACAAGCATCCCATATTAATAAATCTACTGCTTACCTTTGTCTCTTGCTGAATTCCTTCTGTGCTGAGATATAAAAAACCTGAGCTTCATTAAGTCCTGAGATGAGGCATGCAATTTCACAACCCTCCTGTCTTACTACACACATATTCATTCCCCCAAAGTCCTGGTACTCTTATCTCACCACCCCCCCCCCCCAACCATTCTTTGTATGAAATAGGAATACATCTAATCCTCAGTTGCTCCAAAAGGTGGCCCCCAATGGAATAAATCCTTTCACAATGTATACTGTTTGTATAGTTATATCAAATCATGTTGTACACTTTAGGGCGGCAGGGGGGGAGCGGGGCGGGGGGGAGTTGGAATCCAAGCAGGTATGGTACACAGAAGTGAGGCTCTAATGGCATAGTGGTAAGGCTCTAATCCTTGAGGTGGTCCAGGGATTCAGTTCCCTCCATCTAATCAAAGATAGATGTTACCACCCCTATATCCAGCTTCCAGCAAGTTGGGAAGTAGGATTACCTTTTCTTTTTCAAGGTACAACCTTAAATTTACCATCTTCACTTTTTCACATCTCTTTGGCCAGAACTTGGTCCTGTGGCTCTATCTACCTGCAAGCTAATAAAATCAAGCTAATTAATATAACCATAGCTTCCCATAGTTACCATTTTCTTCCTCCCTCCCTCCCTCCCTCCCTCTCTCTTTCCTGTGGTGAGAACACAGATCTACCCAATCTAGCAAATTTTAAGTATACAGTACAGTACTGTTAACTGCAATCACAGTGATCAACATTAGATTTCCAGTTTGAACTTATAAATAAATAAATACATTTCCATCTTGTCTCTGTTAAAGCAACCAAATCAATATCCTAACAAATCAAAACTCTTTACAAGATAACTCCTGCATCTTTTAAGGTCATCTCAGAAATCCAGGCCCACTATCCACATAGCTTTTCTGTTTTGGAGTAGTTACAACTTCTCACACTCACTCAAACACTGAATCCCTGAGAGCTTCTCAAGAGCAAGAAAGATATTAATATCTTTTATTTCCAGTGAATCCTCAATGTATATAGTACAGTTTGGGCAACCTAGCAGATCCCTGGCAGATAGCTGTTGACTGGCTCAGTGACAAGAATGGACGGAATGCAGGGGAAAAGAGGGACAGGCAAAAAATGTGCATGTATGTATGATCTCTCAGGTTAATATAAATAATTTATATTGTATTTACACTCTGTTAGATTAGCCAAGTACCTAAAATAAAAAAGAAAGAATACAAAGCAATACAACAAAACAAAAGTAACTCAATGACTCTTTCCTTGAGATGAAACATTTTAATCTGATGATAGCATGTAACACTGTACATGGAGCACCCACAGCTCCAAGAGTTTCCCTCCAAGTGAAAAGAAAGTTCTCAGAAATAACCAGGTTTGCAATGGCCTGGTCCTTGCCTGTGGGAGGGAGGGAAACTAGCATGGGATGAGCATTGTGGTCTGCTTCCAAGTCACTCGTAGATCCAGTTCTGAGCACAGCTCTTGTAATTTACCAGTTCCTCAGGGTGAAACCACAAGGCAATCTCCTTCTCTGCACTCTCCACAGAATCACTGCCATGAATAATGTTCCTGGATGGGGAAAGAGATGGCCAAAGCCAGGATTAAACTGCCCAGAAGCTCCCCACATTTCCATTGCCAGAAAGCCTACAGCCATAAGAGCAGGATAAAAAAACAAAGCTCCATGTACATTATTCCTTGTCAAAAGAAGAAACCTATAATTGCCATCAAAGTAAGGACAAAGAATTCCCTCCACACATCCAGCCCTCTGATGTTCAGCCCATATGAACACTAATGCAAGCAGTGGGAGCTTTCAGAAGACTCTGGCCAGGTTCTCCTCTCACAGCAGATGCACAACCAGAGTGATGATGATGGCCAAAGGTAGAGGGCCTGCAAAGCCAAACTAAGAAAAGCCAAATTAAGAAAGAGGGAAACAGTAAAATAATTAGCCTCCAACTAATAAAAATAAATGGAAAAAAAAAAGAAAGAGGGAAACAATAAACTCTTATTATAAATTGATCTATATATGGCATCATGTCTACCCTCAGCTGCAGAAGACCAAATTCTTACTGCACCTAAAGTGGATTTTAGAGAAGAGTAAAATGCAACAACCCCTACCTGCCAACTTGGATGCAAAAGTCCCCACGGATGGTCCCAGGCTTGGAGTCTGCAGGGTTGGTCTCCCCAAGCATCACTCGACCTGTCTTCACAACGTTCAGTCCCTCCCAGACCTCCAAGGACAAAAGAAGATATGGTTAAGGAAAAAAATCAATCTCAGCAGAAAATCTGAAAACTATTAATTCAAAAAGAAAATAAAAGGCTCCCATGAAATGACATTCATTCATTGGACAAGTATTTATGCGGCATCTAAGTGTTCCAGCACCGGGAATACTGGTCTTCCTGCACTCCTCTTGCTTTTCTACTATTCTTGACACAGCAGCCAGAGTGGCCTTTTTAAAACACCAAGTGTAAAAAACTCCTACAGCCTCCCAGCAGTCCTGAAGTACAGGGCCAAGATAGCCCCACATAATCTGGCCTCTGCCTCTGCCACTGAATTAATCTCACCCAACCTTCCCTTTCACCCACCAGGTTTCATCTATTCCAAACGTCTTCTGTACTTCAAAAAGTTACCCACCTCAGGTCCTTTGCACATACTATTTTCTTGGTTGAGAAAGCTCTTCACTGTAAATTTGTGCATAGCCGGCTCCTTCTCATGCAGATCTCAGTTTGAAAATCATGTTTCTTGACCACTCAATCTAATGTGGTCACTTCCTATTATGTCATCTTATTTCATATCTGTGCATCACTAATCATTAGCTGACATGTATGATTTTTGGTTTCTTTATTATCTGCCCATCCTCCCTTTTCAGCATATGTAGGAAAGGAAAGCTTTGAAAACAGTTACCTATTTTTGTCTCATTCATGATTATATCCCTAGTGTCTAAAAAAGAGCCTGGTACAAAGATGACAACCAATACCTACTCAGAAAAGAATTAACTACAATAAATAAGACACAGTTTCTCTACCCTCCAGGAGCTTACAATCAGGCATATCTCTCCTGATGTCTCCCAGATATGAGTCTTCGGCTCACCAAGCAAATGTATTTTGCCTTTGGTGAGTCAGAAAACTCATACCCTAATTGTCCAATGCCCCAGGCTCAGCATCCTTGCATCAATGAAGACCTGGCATTAGGAGCAGGAATCACAATATTCACTCTTTGCTCCCAACTGAGCCATTTGTATCAACATCCCAAACATGTACACTCACCATGGCAACCACTGGCCCTGAGTGCATGTATTTCACCAGGCCGGCAAAGAATGGACGGTCCTTCAGGTCAACATAGTGCTCCTTGAGAAGGTCTTCAGAAGCCTAGCCCATGAGACAGAGAAAGAAATTTCATTCCCAAACTATTTAAGAACCAGCAATTTAGTTATTTCCCACTCACCCATCCTGCTATTTAAAACATGAGTTCTCAGCTCACTTGTTCTATTATAATCTAATTCACTCAACTTACCAAAGGGAAGAAGAGACAGGGACTGTAAGTGCTTTAGCTTAGTACCAATTTTCCCCTATTGTCCTTGATTGATCAGCATAAAATTACAGAACATTAGAACTGAATCCAGCCATGGTATTTTAGACAGGAAAACTAACAATACAATGAATTTCCATTCCCAAACAATCTTCAACTAAAATCTTAGAGGGAGGTGCTCTCAGCATTGGATGAAAAGCAAATTGAACCAGGCCATTTCTCATCACATTTAAAAAATAACAAAGGCCCAGTGCAGTGACCATGCAATTTCCACAGGTATTGCAAACCACCCAAAAGCGCATGCCATCTAACAGTAAGTCATTTTACTAAAGAATAAATCTTTCATGTTGCAAGGCTGGTATCTGGGAACAAATCAGACTAGTTATAGAGAGCAAACCATCTGCTTAGCAATGCCAACTCGACTCACCTGTGTTTCCTCTTTGCTACCACTTACATGCTCGTTAAGGGTCTAATGAGATCCCTTGGCTTTCCCAGTTCTGTGGTACTGCTTCGTACAGAATGCTGCACACTTCAGTGATACACACAAACGTGGGGATTTGCTGCCAAAAAGCACATCCTGAACATGCTATCGTTCAGCCCCGTTGATCGTCTCTTGCCAAAGTAAAATTACACAGCCACATCATCACCCCGTTAGTATTCATCCTGACCTATCCCTTCAATCCAAATGGGAAACTTGCAGTGATTGTCTCCTGATGACTTGCCCTTACCAACATTCTTTTAATTCTATTAATTGGTGCTGGCTTTTTTGGGTGGGTTGGGGGGGAGCAGGTGGAAGGGAACTCAAGTTTTCCTTCACTTTCCTCCACATCAGATTTAAATAACCCTGTAGGCTCACGGCAGCCATCCCTCCTCCCATTCTTCACCAAGTCCAAGCCCTTGATAGGAAACAGTGTAAAGGACAAAATGTATGCACTTACGGGTCAGAGAGCCCTGAGTTAAAATACTAACTGCATCACCGACTGGGTAACCACACATTACTTAAACTCTCCAAGCCTCAGTTAGCTTCCTTATCGTTAACAACCATGGGAACAGACATAAGTACCTCTCTGGGTTGTCATGAGAGCTAGTGGGAAAACACATGTGCCCAACACATGGTAAATATCTGATCAATAATACTTTGATTTCACTTTACCTTCAAAACCTAATTCGGTATACAAACACTCTGGAAAGCACTGCTAGTCCAATACCTGGCTCTAATAGTCATTCTATCATACTGTCCCCTCAGCATTTACATCAGTCTGCTCCCTTTTATATTAAAACACTCTTTCTAAAACATCACAGAGAAACTATAGTGCAAATCAAACTAAATTTAAAATGCACTAGACAGAGAATTCCCTGGCAGCCCAGTGGCTAGAATTCGATGCTTTTACTGCCAGGGCCGAGGTTCATTCCCTGCTCAGGAAACTAAGATCCCACAAGCCATGCAGCACAGCTAAAAAATAAAATGCACTGGGAAAGTCCAAAGATGACTCTTTCTCTGACTGATTCACGAAAGTTGACCCTTAATAGGGAAAAAAAAGATGATCCCCTAATGTATTTGCTTTGAGAATTTAAGTTCTAATTTCTCAGGTCTATTTGAAGAAGGGTTCTTGGCCAATCAATCCTTTGGAGTTGCTGAAATATTGCTTTGCAGGTATCTTGCAAGTGTGTCTGCTCTCTGTTGTTTCAGGTGGGCCTCCCCTACAACCACAACTTTCCCCTATACACCCCGATAGCGCCTAATACATGCTAGACACTAGGCAGGTGGTAAGCAATGATAAAAAGACTTCCTTGCTGAAAAACAATTTGCCTCAAACGGTGGGGGGTGGGGGCAAAGGTGAGGGTGGTGGAGTCTCTAAAATGATCTGCTCAGGAATCTCAAGATCAGCCGCTCAAACAGGCCCAGGGCTTTGAGTCAGAAATCAATGTGCTACAGTAGTATGTGGAACTCTGCATTGCCAAGAGAAAAGGGAGGCTACTTCTGAAAGTCCTGAACAACTCGCTTTGTTCCAAGACTCAGTGGAGAAGCCACCATTTCAGGACATTTGTTCACTCCAAATGGAGAAGCCTAAAATGATCTGAAGGGAGAAAGAAAGAGGCTGACCTACGGTGTTCCCCTATTTCTATGAAGTAATAGAAACAGCAAGAATGAAGTCCACTTACCCGCATGAATTTCATGGCAACAAGACGGAATCCCTTTTGCTCAAAACGCTTGATTATTTCTCCCATGAGGCCTCGCTGGACTCCATCGGGCTTGATAGCAATGAAGGTGCGCTCGCTGTTGGCCATGGTCCTGGGGATAGACAGGTGGAGGGATGAAACAACACTGAATATCCTGCCTACATCATTATCCTTCTCAAGCAGATTATCCCATAAAGCTGGTTTAAATCTGTGACATCAATTCCAGGACTCTAGTAAAAACCTAATTCCACCTCAGTCCCCTCATCCATGAATTAATATCCCAGAGTGGGGAAGGGTCCAAAAGCCAGGGTTATAACTGCTATTTCATTTAACTTAATAAGCTTCTGTTAAGTCATATCAAGAGGATGTGACTGCCAGTTCACCCCCAATCTGGAGCCAGCTGATCAGAGGCTCCTCACTGCGTCCCCTGTCCTTGGAATATAGACTTTGTACACTGTTCCCATAGCAGGAGCCATTCCAAGGATGCAGCTTTGAGAGAAGTAAGGTGTTACTGAGACCATCTGCAAAGAACATGTGACTGAACCCAGTTAAGGCCTCTATATAAATTTTAAGCTTCTGGTGGGTGGGTACAGTGCAATCAGCCAAGATGAGCCTCATGTGTCCCTGTCCTGTTAAAACTACCACCTTCCAACCTAGAGTGTTCTGTCTCTGGTCTCTCCTTGCCCTCTGCATACAGGGCCCGTTTGTGAACTACCAGTTGGTGAGCCAGCCAAGAGACTGAAGAAATGGGCCTTGAGAAAGAAGCATCCCTAGAGGAACTCCAAGCTGAACACCTACCTCTATGTGGGGAAGGTGGCCTGTGTGTTTGATGCTTGTGGACCACTACAGGAGAACAGGGATGCCCCAAAAACCCTGGCTACTTTAACATGTTTGTTAGAGAAACTACACAGGCGACAAAGAAGAGAAATGAACGGCCGCCACAGTGGGCAGGCCACTGGCCACAGAGGCACTAGAGGCTGAAGCTTGAGTTAGTTGGAAGAAGAGCTGAAGTTAGAGAAGAACATGCAGGTATCCACTGCTCTGCCAGCTCTGGGGCTGGGAGACAAGGTGAAAGAACAGGCTGATAAGCTGGAGACCTTAGCTTTTATGTAGCAAAGCCAGGGGAGCACAAGCTGCTGCAGATTAACGTCCAAGTGCTGTGACAAAGCCTGATTAGGACACTAAGAGACAGAATCCCTGGGAAAGTGAGAAGCGCAAAGGGGAGGATGTTGTGGTGATTGACAATGAAAGAGATGAAGTACTCCACGCTGTCCAACCCTTAATACAAAGAAAAGTTTTAATCAGTAATTACCCTAGACTTATGATAATAGAGAAATATACCTCAAAACATCTAAGAGAAAACTTGCATTCTTTCTCTGTCTCTTGAAATTGTAAATCTTATCATGTGTTTGAAATATACATATCACAGGAGATAATTAAAACATTGCCCACAGATTGAAGAAAAAGGGTGGGGAGGGGCGTGAAAACAGTTTGCTATAGGACCGCCCTCCCACAAAATCTAGTCTTCAGCGTCCATCAAAGGCAAGTACAAAAAAAACTTTTTTGGCCATGCTGCGAGGCTTGAGTGATCTTAGTTCTCCAACCAGAGACTGAACTCATGCCCCCTGCAGTGGAAGCATGGAGTCCTAACCACTGTACCACCAGGAAATTCCCAAATTTTTAGTCTTCTCTACAAATATCAGTAAAAGGCTTTAGCCATGTGAGTGGATACCTGATTCATGGCTAAAGTTTTGGAGAGACAGCTATGGGTTCTTTGTGTCTATCTGTATTTCATATGTCTATGGATGTATTTTTCCATCTCCAGAGTACTGTCAAAATTAATTTGTGAAAAAGCTCTATTTAGTTGGCCTAAAGAAAAATAAGCTTTGATATCAATAGTGTACTTAGTAAACCTGAAACAATTTTCTTTCAAAGGGCAAAGGACAAAGTTTTGCTGGACTACTGGTCTGTTCCTTATGGGATTGTGAGAGGCTTTTCTTTACCTTTTGAGTAACTTGCCTAGAAAAAAAAAGATTCTGTGTTTTATCAAAATAATTTCTTGTGCTTCATGTTATCTTTTCAGGTCTTTGATTACTTAAGAAAAGTAAAAAACATTTTTTTGTACTTGCCTTTGATGGACACGGAGGGCTCGATTTTGTGGGAGGGGGGTCCCATAGCAGACTGTGTGTTCACACCCCTCCCCACCCTCTTTCTTCAATCTGTGGGCAATGTTTTAGTTATCTCCTGTGATATTTACATTTCAAATACATGATAAGATTTACAATTTCAAGAGACAGAGAAAGAATGAGTTTTCTCTTAGGAGTTTTGGGGTGTACTTCTCTATGAGTCTTCTCTATTAAAAGGGCAAAGTTTTGGGGGACTTTTTTTTTTTTTTTAAGGTCTTTTTTATTTTCCTCCACACTGGCAAAAGTTCCGAGGGAGCTTAAAGTTCTGTAAACATCTTAACTGTCCCTCTTCCCCACCCCCACTTGTGAATTTACAAAGCAAGAGCAGGAGTCTCAGTTTTTAATGGTTCTGGGGGACTTTTTTTAAACAATTATGTAACTTTCTGTAGTTGCCTTTGGAGTCTTTGTAACTTAAGTTAAATAGATAACTATTAATTCACAGTGACCTAAGATCCTATTTAATTGTGTTTTAAAACCTTTTGATATTTTTGATAAGCTTTCCAAAAATCTATTCCTAAATAGTTTTGTTGACCTAGAACTAACTCTGGCATTTTCCAGAGAACCTCTAGAACAATTCAAAAGATATAATCTCTTTCCTTATAAAAGAGAGATATTGAAATAGTCTATTTAATATATTAAATTATATGGGAAGCATTGTCAAATAAGTGATGTTAAACTTTCTTTGGGGTATATTTGTAAGAAATTTCTAAAAATTTGCTATGTCTTGGTATAATGTTATCAACTATAATTTTGAATGTGTTTCAAAAAAATATTACATTTCCTTGTCAACTGAATTATAATGAACTCTCACAAGATCTTTAGCCATAGCCATTTAAAAGTTCTTTTGTCATTTACAGTCATTGTTTTACTCTGATGTTTTTGCAAAACTGTTCCTGCAAAAGTGTTTCATCTTGGACTTCCCTGGTGGTCCAATGGTGAGGAATCCACCTGCCAGTGTAGGGCACACAGGTTCGATCCCTGGTCCAGGATTCCACATGCCACAGGGAACTGAGCCTGCACACCACAACTACTGAGCCTGCGCTTAGATCCTCGGAGTCAAACTACTGAGCCCAAGTGCAGCAACTACAGAGCCTGCATACCCTAGAGCCTACAGAAGTCACTGCAATGCAAAGCTCAAGCACCACAACTAGAATAGCCTCCGCTCATCGCAACTAGAGAGAGCCTGCACACAGAAATGAAGACCTGGTACAGTGAAAAAAAAAAATTTTTTTTTAAATGTGCTTCATCTTCAAGGAGATTTATGGAAAACTTTTTACAAGCATAAGTTCCTGATAACTAAGATCAATTTGCCTTCATGTGAGAGGGGCAGTAAAGGATGTTTCAAGGACTTCTCCATGGCTACCTGCACAACCCCACATGCTTGGGTGATAGCCCAAGACTTGTCCCTGTTTCCTTTCCCCACTCCGATAAAACAGGTCCATTATATCAATGATATGATAACGTTAACACGTGATGACTTGCCCCTGCTATAGGACACTCTGCAGGCTTTGTTGGAACATCCATGAGGGAGAAGGTGGGCAGTACATTCACAGAAAATTCAAGGCCCAGACACCTTGGTAAAGTTTTTGGCAGTCCTTTGGTCGGATAAATTGTCCCAGAAGTTGTCACTGATAAGGTATAAGCTTATCCAACACCTAAGAATGTGAAACAGGTACAAGCCTTTGTAGGAATTTGGTGGTCTTGGAGGACTTTTATTCCCCACCTGGCACAGTGCCTCCATCCCTTACATCACATGGTAAAGAGAAGGCATACGTGGGACTGGGGATTACAGCAGCAGTCTTATTAGAGCAGAGGATTACTTTGCCTTTGAGATGGCAATAAATACTAGTGAAGCAAATTAAAGCTCTGGGAACCTCCCAAGCTGGGCTACCATTTGAGTTAGATGTACCTATAACTCTGGAAGGTCTGAGTTGGGCACTGTGGCAGAGAAGGAGAGTACCCCTAGGATTTTGGTTCTGGCTCTGGAAGAGGGCTGAAACCCAATACACCCCACAGAGCAACAGCTTCTAGCACTGTACACAATGCTCCTCTGGGCAGAGCTTCTCACAAAGGAACAGCATATCATGGAAAGAACTTCCCTTCCTTTGAAGGGGTTGTTCAGAATAAGTTCCATCTACTCACCTCTGCCATGGCTCAAACCCTCACAATGACTAAATGACCTGTCTATTTGTAGCAGATGAGCACCCTACCACCAGTGCACTGTCTCTAGAAATGTGGGCGCTCCTAGGCCCTATCCCTGGAGGAGGAAATGGCAACCCACTTCAATATTCTTGCCTGGAGAGTACCATGAACAGAGCCACCATCTTGGTCCCCTCCACTGGCCTGGAGGACATTAAAACATACAGAGAGGCCCTTACTCAGTTCATCCAGCAAGTCTTAAATGACAGTGTGCAAAGCCTGTCTTAACCAAACACTAAAATAATCTTTAATGAGAAAAGCTGTCCTCTAAAACAGAATAGACTTGGACATTATTACTGCCTCATAAGGGGACTTAGTAAATCAATGGTTCAAATTATGGGGCTCTTGATGGAGAAAACTGTTATTTATTTTGAGAATCATTTTGATCTGTCTTTTCTCTTGCATGTGCCTTTATATTGTTGCTGTGGCATCTGCCTCCACTGCAGTCAGAGAGCTGCCAAACAAGCCACCTCCATGTGACAGAACCATTTGCTGACTTCTCAGGGCACACTTCTGACCCTGCAGGAGAGGGGGTGAGATTGTAAGGGCTGGTCACAAGGGATGGAGTATTGGAGGAGGTTTTGACCATCAGTTGACACTCAGCTGATTTCAGCAACTGCAAGCTCCTCACCCCTGCCCCTGTCCTTGGGATTTACACTCGGCCTACTGTCCTCACATTAGGGGCTGTTCCAAGGACAGCAGCCTTAAGAGAGTAAGGGGTTG